GAACCAGAGAAAGTTAGATAATTTTAATCTGCGAGTTTTATAGTACACTTCGACTCAAAATTCATTTCGTATGGCAGAAGTATTCTACTGAAATAAACAAGACAGAATGAAGCTGACGCCATCCGTTTCGAATAACACATGAACATGAAGAAAACGGCACCAGTTTAAACTCATGAGACAAAGCCCACGGATTTTTTTGAGGTAAATGAACTGGTTAGACCGAAGGCTAAATAAATAAACAATGAACTGACAGTGGTGAGAGATTTGGGGGCCATGTGATAAAACAAGTTCTACCGAAGTTTATCCCCTAGTTAGCCCTTCAAGCCCAAAAGGGCAATCAGAAAAATTCTCACCAAAACACAAAAAAATATTAGATAAAACCGCAGATGATCGAGGCAAGACTATAAACGTTGTTAAGACGCATGCCTACGTACCAAGTACAACAGACTTGGAGAGCAAAATGGCCAAAGACAGTTGTGAGCCATGACTTTGAAAATCCACCTCAACCTCCCAAAAACAGAGTTAGAAATGGTTAAACTTTGTGACCCCATCCCTCTCCAAAAATATCTTTCGCTCAGTTGAAAACCGGCAAAAGAAAATTAAATGCGGAAGAGAACAAACTAGTAGGAAAATGTCTGGAATCTTGCTATCTTTCTCAGCTAGGTTGGTGACCGCTGACTGAAGTACAAGAGATTTTCAAAGATGGCCCGCAATGTAGGAGAGTGATGTGAACACATCACTTTACTAATAGTTTGTTAGTCGTTTTGGTTCTCAGCGGCAGAATTTCGCCAAAATTGGTATGTATTGCCATACATGGTAAAATTTCCTCTGTCATAAATCTTTTATTTAGCACATGGTAGGTAATTTTACAACAAGTTTTAACCAAGAGTTTCATTCCACTACATATAATTATCTAATCCAAGGTATCTTTCTTTGGTATGGTACTGTGTGTTAACTAACTTTGTTGGTGTAATTTTCAATAGTTTGTCTGAGTATGTCAGGGTAGCTGAGTGAGGCTGATAAGTTACAGTGTTTTGCCTCTTTTATCTTAAACAAGGTCATTAAATGAAGCAATTTTGTCTCATTTCTTAACTCCCAAGATCTGTTTGCTAATTCTCCCCACTAGTTTATAGACGTTTCCTTGTGCATTTGTTATAGGAAATTTTTTGTTAGGTCAAAATAACTTTTTTCATTACCCTTTTGTTGAATATTGTTTAGATATTTTAGGAAGAAGTTACATCATGTTAATTACATCTGGGAGTTTAAGGGTTAAACAGCGTGATGTGATACACTGCTACCTAAATTTCCCTTAAGTTCGAAATATCCAGGACTTAAGCATTCCCTACAAATTTGTTCAAACTGCAGCTTTGACACTTCTGCAAATTTTGACAAGTACTAGTTAATCTTTAATTTAATAAGACTGAAGGAAAAATGAAATTTTTGATTAACTTGAAAAGTGATTGATAAAGAAACATTGAAACTTCACCTTACTCAAACTTTTTTTTCCACAAGCCTGGTGTAACCAATGTGCCAGCAATAAATTTTAGATAAGTTTAATTTCCTGATGACTGGACTGAACTCTTCTATTTACATGCCATTGCCAGTGGTTTTTAAGTAAAGTATTACAAACATAATACATCAAGAACAGAATGACTAATTACAAGATTGGAAATAACACAGGAAATACAAGTAACATGAAATATGTATAACATAGACAATACTGATAATATATGAAACATGGGTCACTCGACTAAAGATCAATTTACCTGATGATTTTGGAATATGGCTGGCATAACAGTGTACTTGCAATTACCTTTTAACTCAAGCTCACACCTTTTTTATTTGCATGATCCACGTAAAAGTCAAACTTATATGGAGAGTTGCGTGGACTGGGGCTTTAGGAGGGGGATTGGTTTCTACACCTGGTGTCTTCTCTTGATTTTCTGAGCTGGAAGATAATGTCTTGTAAGGAAGCTGTGCTCCAAGGAACAACACCCCCCCTTGATCTTATCCAGTTTTTATTGTTAGGTCCAAAGAAGTGAATTTATCTCACATCTGTGTGAATAAAAATATGTAATTGTTAATTTGCTGGTCAGAGTTTATCAAGCAGTGAAGATGATGACATTGCCTGAAAACAAAAACCAAAAGTAAATCAGAAAAAGAAGAAGAAAGGAAAAAACATTATTTACTCAGGTTATGTTTTAGGGTGAATACCAACAGTTTCGAAAGGAACAGATGTTGAGACTCTACACAAACTGTTATAACTCTATATGAGTTTTAATTGTTTCAATGTACATGTAAGCTAGGTAGTTGTGCTATACAGTGTTCATGTCAATTCCCACCAGCAATTTGCATTATTACAGAAACATGGGGTAAAAAGATTCACATAATTATCTGTACAACATCAAAATGATGTCCTGCGCATTGTGTTTCCTTTTCTGGTTTCTCCAAAATTTTAAGTTTTGGATAGGCACATGTCAAGGTTAAGGGCACAAGAATAAAGGAAATGATCACCAACTAAGCTCTTGTTTGTTAAATAAATTCTCCTTGTCAGTACCCTCAGAAACACATAGAAAACAGTTTAGAGAATGTGCATACTGATTTTAAATGTGCTCAGGGTTGAAAATGAAAAACAAACAAACCCCAAAAACAACAGCAAAATAATAAAGACAGTGTCATCAAAGGTGATTTCATAATACAATGTTGTTGTGTTACTGAATTATTTAACACATGGATTGTTATTCTTGCTTCAGTCCAGTCAAATTTAAAGAGAAAAAAACAACTTCTGCACTTGATTTCTTTGGTTCTACTTCAGTAGAAAGGGAATCCAGGAAAACATTTGTTAATAAAAGAAAACAGGTGAATAACTAACTACACTTTTTCCACCCACAATTTTTTTGGTAAAGAAAAATTCAGGCATCCAGTGTATTTTTAACAGTATTTCATGCATCATGCATTGAACAGGGAAAACTTCAAACCTAACCATACCTTGCCTTTCTATAAAATTAATGCATCGCATGTTAGGTTTTGGGCATAATCATGCATCCCTTGTAATACCCTCTGCCAATCTGTTATAGTTATATCAGGATGGTCTACAGTGAACACATACCATGTCACAAAATCAATGGGTAGTGGTAGTGACCAATTGAGGAATAGTTCTGGCAGAAACAACACCATGGGCTGCCTTAAAGGAACAAGTCCTTTCACCTCCAAGATAATTATTTAAATCAATTCTCTTTACTGTCTGTCACACATGTGTTATGAAAATATCTTTGAGAATATGGTGTTCAATCAAGTGATATCCTCATGTCTGATGATTTTCTTTCCTCGCATCACATTGCTGCTCAGTTGACTGTGAATTGGTATTATTGCGAGAAATTAGAAAATTGATCACTCAGTGCAAATTTTAAGCTTGATCCAAAGCTTTAAGCCTACTAAATGATCATCCCTTAATTCCCTGTTGAACCATCAATCATTTTTTTTGTTTTCATTTCCCACAGAGATCTGACCCAAAGTGAATAGAAGAAGAGTATAAAAATGGGAGAGAAAAAGAAGGAAGAGAAAATGAAAATGTCAACCATCACACAACAGAGCAACCATCAAAGAAAAGAAAGGAAAACTTCTCAGAATCAAAGTCTGAGGTTAAAAAGCCTTCCCCTGAGAAGAAAAAGGTTTGTAAGCCTTTTGATTACCATACTTAACTGTTGCAAAATTAATCATTACTATTAATGCTTAATTGAACCAGCTACCCTGATACTAGAATGGATTGGATCTGATATGATTGCACGTGTAAGGTATGTGTCATTAAGCACTTAAATAAGTTACTTTTAGACGAAACAGTAACATTTTATGACTAAATTTGGCTTTGTTTGAGATCCAAAAGCTTACTCAAATTTGTTAACTGGTGTTACATTTTGTATATGTAAACCTGTCCTAATATGACACATTACTAACAATACTTGCAACAAAACATTACTTACAATACTAACACTACTCAAAATACTACCATTACTGTACCTAGAATTTATACAAAAACAGTAACAATAGTGACAAAACTTTTAGGTACGTTTTTGGTGATTTTAACTTTGACAATCCAGGAAGGTGTGACCACTATGTCTCCATTTTTCAAAGCAGCAGTGTCTTTTACTATCAACATTCCTATTTGGAACAACTCTTGCCTTTTGAGGACAACTCTTTGCTGCTAGAATATTTGATATACATGTAACTTTTGTTCACTTCAAATTTTATCCATGGACTTTTCAGTAAGTACCAAAGACAACTCCTGCTTGCAAACTGGCTGCCAAAGCTGCCACAGTTCCAGAAAATCCAGTTAGAGACTCAAAACCAAGTCCAAAGAAAACTGTTACTCTGAAAAAGGAAAAAAAGATGTTAAGGAAACTCCAACCCAAGGAACACCAGAAGGTGTCAAAATCAGAGGAAGTGGTTGAAATTCCACCCTCATTGGAAAAGAAAAAATCTGGCTACCATGGTTTTATGGCGAGAGATGGTCCTAGGACACTTGGTTCAAAGGAAATCCCTCAGGTAGGTTTCAAAGACCAAGATCTGATTGTTAATTCTCCCCTCTAGCTGCTACACATTTTTCTGTAAATTAATAATGAGAGTTTGTTGTTAGATTATTATAACAACTACATGTACAGTTTCTCAGTTGTTGTTCAAATGTTGGTTCAGTGTCAGTATCTGAGAAACTGCCCACCTACCCCTCCCCTAATCCAACATTAACCCTTAATTGTAAGCAGTTGACAGTTGTTGGGTTAGGGGAGGGGTGGGTGTGCAGATGCTGACATTGATCTGAAATGTTTATGGTGTATCTACAGAGTTTTTTACTTTTTCACCATTTATAACTTTTCAGTTTGGACAGTATTAAGAGGCCTTCAAGGGAAGAATTAATTATTTGTCTGCTCATCTTGAATTATGCATGCACTTGATAATATAATATTTAGGAAGCGGAAAACTGTTTGGATGGACTGACATTTGTTAATATGGGAATCTTGGAAAGTATTGAGAGAGAGGAGGCAGCAGATTTGATTCAAAGATATGGTGGAAAAGTTACCCAATCAGTGAGCAAGAAAAAGAGTCAAGTTGTTGTGGGACAGGATCCTGGGAAGAGTAAACTTTCCAAGGTACATTGTAATGCACAGCTCAAAAGAGGAAAAAAAAGAGCTGTGAACATAAACAGCTGCACCTTTTCCCTAAATTTTTATAACAAATCAAGGTGCAGCTTACTGCAAAAACACCTTGGAAACTTGCCACAAATTTGCATAAATTAACATGATTCGTTGACATTTGTAAGTCTGTATAGCAAACTAACAAGAACCGAAAAATTTACCATGGTAGAAATTTATCATTTTCTTTTTGTTGTTGGCTTCTAAAAGAGCATAAACTTATACTGGAGTTCGTTAAATGTTTCTTTGTTAAGAGACCTTTAACTGGTTTAAGGTCCTATTTCCTTCCTCGAATAGCTTAACATTAGTGACCCTCCACGGGAAAACGGACACGAACACTTTTCCGTTTAAGCTGCAAAACCGTTTACTATCCGTTTATATCCGTTTAAACGGTTCATGAAAGCGTTTAAGCGGTTTGCTCATCCGTTTAAAAAAATTTGCATCCGTTTAACGCTTTAGCTAAAACGTTTAAGCGGTTTGCTCATCCGTTTAAAAAAATTTGCATCCGTTTAACGCTTTTGCCAAAACGTTTAAGCGGTTTGCTCATCCGTTTAAAAAAATTTGCATCCGTTTAAAAAAATTTGCATCCGTTCAACGCTCTAGCAGAAACATTTAAACGGTTTGCTTACCCGTTTAAAAAAAAAAAGCTATCCGTTTAAAGTTCCATGGAAAGCTTTGGACTGTTTGCCTATCATTCTGTTATAGGCAGTTCGAAGTATCAATCTTACGTTCGCTCGATACTCGCCGGTTCTTGAAATACAGAAAGACCGTATCTTATTTTGGTTTTATCTTTTGCGTGATCATAGTAAGCGAGTTTCCGTCGCATCCTTTGACAAACAAGTTAAGTTGAAATATCCGTTTGTAAAAACCAAGAGCACTTGGCAAGAAACCTGTGGTTTCTTTGTTGTTGTTGTTTTTGTTGTTGGTTTTTTTTTGTGCAATTGATCACATAATTTGTTAATCCTCATTTCCCTTCTTCCATCTGCTTAATTTACAGTGTCACTCAGTTTGTCTGTCTGTCTGTCTGTCTATCTGTCTGTCTGTCTGTCTGTCTGTCTGCTCTTTTGTGTATGTTCATTCTTCCAATGACTGTCTTTCTATCTGTCACTTATTCTCCTTGTTCTCCTCTGTCCAGTCACCCACACATCAGTTTTACCACTACTCTAAATTCCACCTTTAGGTTCATCTGTTGGATCATTTTACTGTACTTCCACCTGTAGACTTGTTTGTGTTACTTAAATTGAGTTACAAGAAAGTACAGTTTTTTTTTTACAGTTTGCTTTATTTTTTTAATCTACATAAGATTTTGACAGTAAAGGTAATTTTTTTTTGTGCAGAAGAACCAAGTCTGTTATGGGTAGACAAATATCAGCCTTGGGCAGTGAAGCAGATTATTGGTCAGCAAGGTGATAAGAGCAACATGAGAAAGCTGATGAACTGGCTGAGAGACTGGGAAAAGAATAGAAAGAAACCAGTCTCTAAATGTGAGTACACATTGATTGTCAAGATGCTTTTCCATCAAATACATGTACATGTAACTTCTCTTCAGGCAAGTATGCAAACAGTTCAGGCAAACTGTCAGAGAAAGCAGATGAAAAAGTTTGGGTTGTAACCAGATAGGGGGACCTTTCTAGGGGGGGAGGGGGGGTAGCAATTCTCCTAGTCACTAGATGCTACTGAAATTAAGTAAGCATAGGCAAGGTTAGACCTGTGGCTCTTGTGCTGACTTTACCTCTAACCCTTTATCTCACATGAGTGACCAAGACAGGATTTCTCCTTACAATATCAATACAATATCAATCAGACAAGTAATGAGAATATAGAAAAATATCAATCTGGGGATAATTAGTTGATCCAATACCAAATTATCCAAATCATAAAAATTTTATGGCAGACACTAAGAAGTACTAGTGAGCTGTTTGAAGTAAAAGGGTTCAGTGGATGAACCTAACCTTAATCTACAGATATTTTACATAAGACCTTAAATTTAGTTGTAATGCAAATGTCGTCTAGCTGTTGGCTAAATACCTTTCACATTGAATCCAGATTGTTTCTTAATTCTCACATTCATAGATACAATTTTTTAAACAGCTGTAACTTATGAACTTTTGTGAATTTATTTTACTCGACAGTCACTTATACATGTAGTTAGTATGTTAGTAATGGAATCACAGTTTTAAACCTTTTTATTTTGGACAGCTTTCTTTTACAACAAAGACCAAGATGGGTCGTCCTTTATGGCAGCTCTTCTGTCCGGTTCCCTAGGAGTTGGAAAAACAACAACAGCTACATGTATCCTGGTTTGTGAAGAGCTGGGTTTTACGTACATTGAAATGAATGCCAGTGACACACGAACCAAAAAAAGACCTTGGAAGAACACATTTCTCAGTCACTGAACAATAAAACCATGGATGGCTTTCTGACAGGTTGTCAAATTTCTGTATGATTTGGAATGACTTTGATATTATTAAAGATACTTCATGAATTCTCCAGTCTTACTAAACTGATTTTCCTCCGTAGTTAATTTATTAGATTTCAGATGTAATTTTTCCCTGTATTTTTGGTCGTATTCGCTATACAATAACTTTTTTTTGCAAATTTCGCCTTAGGTCATTTCTTTTCACTCACCCGTCGAATTAAAGCTCTATTGGTCCACTTTTCCTAAAACATTTGTCAAGTTTCCAGGCGGACAAATCGCCTGCATCTTTAATAAGAAAATTTCCTTCACTATGCGTTCAGTATGTGTGTGTCTCATTTTTCCCTGTCCTGTCAAGACCTCTCGTATGGCAGTCCAGCGCCCTTCGATCACCCTAAGCAGGCGATGGTTTAACGACCATCACATCAGCAAAAAATAAGTATACTAAAAAAAAAATAGCATGTTTATATCATTGTGCTACACTCCGAATTAATGAAAATGAAAAGTTAAAAAATGTAATATGAGGTCCTGTCCAAACTTGGCGTATAAATAGTGAAACAGCATCGCTACAAAATAGAATCATGGATCACGAAATAAGCAATGACACGATTTTCTGTTTCGAGTTCGATGAGCTCATATTCAGCTTCTTCAATACTGCTCGTGTTACCAAGTGCACCGTTTTGTTACACACTTCAGGGGCAAATCACATTTTCACAGGAGTTAAGGTGAGGACAGAATAAGTTAATAGCGACCGAATGCAGTGAATGAGATAAACGGATATTGACTAAAGATACAAATAGAAATAATTTGAAACATGAGACAAAAGAATGACAAAAATATCGATCTTATTTACTCGTCACGAACGCAGGATCGAATCTCAGACCATCGGATTTTACGATCTGAAGTTCTCACACATAGCTATAGATTTCTCGTTAATGATCCATGACATACAATGGATACATAAAGGATCATCCTGCATACTGCTTAGATCATCAATGTCGAAAGTTTCATGTCTTCAAATACATAATAATAGAAAGGAAATTTCAAGCTCTTGCGTGACAAAGGAAAAAATCATTTTTAACCGACGACCGAAAAGAAAAACCCTATCCGTCAGATCAGGTTAAACGACAGATTAAATATTAATGCTGACATGTAGATAAACATACCAGACCTTGAGGTAGCTTATTTATCTTCCCATGAGGGATTTACGAAGCTGCGGCATTTCTGATTCCAGTATCATGTGCGTCACTTGTCTGTACGAACTGTTAGACATTTATTTATGGCCTCGCTTACTGCATCCAAACTCGGCTGACAATTCTAGAGCTCAAAGAGACAGAGAGCTACGGCCTCAGATTTCTCTCCCAACTTAAAGACAACTGGTTCAGTAACAATTTATTCATAAAATTCTTATAAGATACACAGAGGGTTTCTGCACACAAAGATGCATGGAGTACACAGATTTAAAAAAATTTTTAATATCTTCCTCGGATATTTTTTTTTAAGAAGAGTATTTATGGTATTCGCTTTAATTCTTTCCAAGACGCGAAACGATTTAACTATGCTTTTCTCTAGATACAACGAGAAGTCAAGTTTTTTTCTTGCAAAAGAACTTTATTGGAGTTAAATTTATTGCAAGTAATCTTCAGGTGAGGAAAGATAATGAAGAAGTATGTAGCATATTATAATCGAAAGACAAGAAAATTGGAAAAAATTTACACAAAGAATACATATTATTGATGTGGTTTCTTTAGCTTTGTATCTCCCTCAAGTGAAACACCGGACACCTACGCTTTTGACTGCAAAAATATTTAGGGCGCAATTGGCGGGAGTTATTTACAAGAAAAAAGCTTACCGTTAATATTTTTAGAAACTTTTTGAAGTTGTCATGGTGAGAGCGGAAAATGAAAATTTGAGAGAACTGTAACGCTAATGGGAAGATGACCAAAAACAAATGTGTATCATATTGAACGAGGGATATATTGAGTTGATCACTTGAAGAGAAATTGTATTGGTACAATATAACTCACGGTGTAAATTCATCCTTATCGATTCAGTTATGGCAGGGTGTAACATGTCCTGCTCAGAGAAGAAAAGGGTTTTGCGGATGCGAGTGTTTTGCGCGGAAAGAGAAAGAGCTGAATTTAAATCACAGAAATAATTAATCGCCATGGAGAAACATGTAAACAAGTAATAATCATAAAAAGAATAAAAAAACAAACAAACAGACAAAAATACAAGCACAGTACTAGGCATTAGATGAGGTTACATCTTTCAAACTCGTGAATATGTTACCTTCATTTTTTTATCGAATTTTTGTAAAGCAAAATGTTATTTTTGATATTTTCAGGCATGTAGAATTAACAAATGACATCGTCTGGAGAATAGAAAGATTCAGAGGATAACAGTTTAGCAGGTACAAATCAATTTTCATTCTGCAACTGATTAGTGCTGTAGAGCTCATGTTATTTACAATGAAAGATCACAATCTTATTTTTCTTGCGGCTGACAACAATCAAGGTTAATTTCAGTCGAATTTTCCGGTTTATTGTTATCAGATGTGAAGATATTTCAATGGTTTCTCTCATTTGACTGGTTTAATAGTCTGCACGCGATGCAATTTCCTGAAGCCTTAAACTCCTAGAAGTGATATAACTTGTAACTTATTCTTGTAATATCAATACATTATCCAGCAAACAGGCAATGAGAATACTCAAAGTTTTATCAGGTAGAATTCGTTATCTTTGAACTAACACCAAATTTCTGTATCTACTTTGAAGTGAAAAATGTAGCAGCTAGAGGGGAGAATTAACAATTAGATCACGGGAGTTAATGGTTTAACTGCGCGTGATGATTATGCGGCAGAAGCGCGTGACGAGCATGTGACAAAGCTAGATAACGTGACGTATATAATTAGAGCTCTCGTCAATATCAAAATCAGCAAATATCTCTTTGTAAGTTTGTAACAAAGCTCGAGGTTGAAAAAAATTACACAATCCCTAAGTTTCTTTTGATATGGTAACATTCGCGATATATAGTAATAATAACGGTAATATGGATCAGTTTCCAAAACGTGACATCTCCACCGCACGCTGTAAATGTACCATTTATATATCTTCACATATAAAGGTATCAATATCGTCTTACAACCGGATTTATCAACATGACAGTTTTACCTTCCATGTGGGCTGTTTTTTTAGTTCAATTGTATTTTTTTACCTGAAGCTGAATTAAATTCTTTTTTAAATAAAATAGTTCTTGTAATGATAAACTGTTGTATTACAATGTCCGAAATTGAATTGATTTTTCGGCGAGCTGAGTTTCGGTGTAACGGATCTCTTTAATCGATGCTCCTAATTAAAAAATCATATTTGATTCAAATTTTCAATCAATATCTTTTGAATAAAATGGATGATACATGTTGCCCTATCGATACGAATTTATCCGCTTAAAATGAATTATCTATTTGAAGGAGTAAAAGATATCATGAACACTCGATGGTAAAATTCGTATCCACGCGCGGTTATCCAATATCTCATGTATGCGTGTGTATTACTGAACAAGTGTGAGCTTAAGAAGGCTGTACATCGGCCAATTTCCCTCACTATATTTTAAGCCGGGACCGAGACGAAGGCTTCGTCAGCAACGGATCAAAGGATATATCACACGATAACAAAATATATTCATGCATTATGGAAGTACCAAATAAATCTGCGAGTTTCGGTGTGATTTTTGTTTTGTTTTGTTTTCATTTAGGACGAATCTGTGACCTGTGTTTTAGCCAAAAATGCTGGAAAAGCTTTTATTAATGGGACAAAAATATATTGTTTAGTTATGAAATTATACGAGGTATTCAACAGGCTACAAGTATTTCTTTTTTTCCTTCTGTGGGGAATCAAAGTGGGAATCTAAAGAATACACATTGTGCACTCTTGGGTAGCCGATCAGAGCACAGCTTTCTTGCTCGCTCGCGGGTCCTACCTTAACGTATAAATAGCAGAGGAATTGGTCTTTTATTGCATTATTTTTGATCCATGCCTACCGGGTACAGCAAGGTTGTTCATTGCAATTCACGCATTTTGATAAGGGACAGCCTTGAACGACGTTTCAACCGATGAGACTACGAAAACAAACAAACAAACATGACACAACCCGCAGAACTTAACTGGAGCTGTCACGCAATTACAATAGCGTGACGGAGGAAACTTTGAGATTTTAAGTCTTCCTCTATGATTAAGTATAAAATGTTTTCTTTAGGTTACTTTCATCTGAGTCTCCTCTTTTGATTTTAAACAATGTAGCGCAGTACAATCGATTCACTTTTATTTCTAGAAATGGCAGAAAGCAACCTCCAAACAACGGGAGAAGAACTGGAGGTGAAAAATGAGTTTCCAGCCACAGGTAAGAAAAAGCAACAGGGAAAGACTTCGTTGTGGTGATTTTGCACAGTTTGTTAATTAAGTATATCTTAATTCCGGTGCACAATTTTTTAAATTACTTCGACTTGTAGGTTTTTAAGGAATCCACTAAACACGCTTGTATTAGAACGCTAGTTGTAATTACACATAGTTGTGATCACTAACAAAGTTGAAATATCTTCTCGGTAATTTCAGCGACAGAGGAAAGTCAAGTTACGTCAAGTGACGCTGAACTGGATGTATACAATGACCCTTTAAGAGGTAAGAAAACCAGGTGAAGTAAGATTGTTTGAAAGACGTCCCAGTGAAGTTTTTTTGTCCTATTTACATCAAAATTTGCGTATGTTTTGTGAATGAGTTTTTGAAGCAGCAAAATATCTTCAAATTTCAAACTTTGTTACCAGTAAAAGAAACACGAAACAAAAAAATAATTTATTGCTCGATCCAATGGAGCAGAATACGATGAGATCATTAATTATTTACAAGCCACAAAGCGGCAAATTTGAACGCGACTTCGCTTTGAAGAGCCCTAAATTAGAGAAGAATGGGTCAAACTTGGCCCACTAGGCTTTGTATAACTCAGTTTTCTGAGTTTTAGAAGTGCTTCCTTCCAAATCAACGCACGGCGTTTTAAAGATTAAAGATGTAGCTACAATTTTCACCTAAAATGAATAATATTTGCTGAGTAGAAGTATTTTCCTTTTGAATTTGAAGATACTCAAAATTTGGTCATTTTTAATGTGAAAGTCGTTTTCGGCGAGAGAGAGCTGTTGGCTGAAAAAAATGGCAAACGGATAACTTTTTGAGGCCGCCACGAAGAAAGTATTTGACTAAAAGTTATGCTAACACCTGTTTGTCCGTTATTGTTCAATGCATGTTTGGCAGAAATTTTACTCAATTTGAGAATTCTACAGCGAAAAGGAGGCATTTTGTCTCGGCCGTATCGCCTGTTTTGGTCTTCTAAATATTTCACGCCTCGTTAGACAGTTATGTCAACACCAGGCCCACGCTATAAACCACCAGTCAACAAAATATAGAACCCCTGACTTTCACATCAGGCAAAATGGCACTTCGCGGGAAAGCAGTACTTTCCCAATCAGATTTCTCCAGTTGGCCTCTAAGAGTATGTTCTCAATAGACAGTTACATGTATGAGAAAAACCAAGTGATCAAAAAACAACAGCAACAAAAAAACATTTTTTTTTTTAGCACACTTTTCTGAACGATGGGAAAACCACGAACCCTGGTCACTCTCAGCGCGATGTTTTTTTTTTTTTTTTAACAGAACATTCACAAGTTTTAACTTTTTCGTTCCTGGCTTTGCTCTGCTTTATGCACTAACTATGGGGTTTTATATTCTAACTTGATATTTGGGAAAACGTAACTCAGGTGTAAAAGGGTTTTTGGAAAATCTCTCTATCTAAATGTAAACCGAACAGACTTGATTTGCTTACAGCCAAGCTACAGCTAAAACCTCTAATAGAGCATGTGTATATTTTTAAACAAACAAAGAACAAAGATAAACTCTTCTGAAGTGCGATTGTAAACAAAGTTGAGTTGAAATAGGAGCTCCCGGTAAAATTTTTGTTATTTTGGAAAACGTAAGCCAGTTGTAAAAGGAGTTTGTGAAAGCCTCTCGACCTAAATGTAAACCGAGAAACTTGAACTGGTAATAACCAAGCTGCAGCCCAGACTCTTAACAGCTTGCACACAAACAAAGTGTACAGATGAAGATTTAGATATGTGAAAATTCACATATTTGCACTGCGGTGGAAAGATGAAATTAGAAGATCCACGCAGCTAAGAACACTACTGAAACTAGTAGTTGTAAGTGGGACCTGAAAAAAATTTCAGGCCCGTACGGGATTTGAACCCATGACCTCTGCGATACCGGTGCAGCGCTCTACCAATTGAGCTAACAAGCCAACTGGGAGCTGGTCAATGAATTGGGTACAAATAAACATCCGAGTGAATGAAGATTTAGATCTATGAAAGTTCACATATTTGCACTGCGGTGGAAAGATGAAATTAGAAGATCCTCGCAGCTAAGAACACTACTGAAACTAGTAGTTGTAAGTAGGACCTGAAAAAAATTTCAGGCCCGTACGGGATTTGAACCCATGACCTCTGCGATACCGGTGCAGCGCTCTACCAATTGACTTGTACCCAATTCATTGACCAGCTCCCAGTTGGCTTGTTAGCTCAATTGGTAGAGCGCTGCACCGGTATCGCAGAGGTCATGGGTTCAAATCCCGTACGGGCCTGAAATTTTTTTCAGGTCCTACTTACAACTACTAGTCTCAGTAGTGTTCTTAGCTGCGAGGATCTTCTAATTTCAAAGTGTACAGATATTAAACTTTTCTAATTTTTCGTTTTTCATAGCTCTAAGTTCCTTTAACCTAAAAGTTTGTTTGGAGGTATAAAGTTTGCATCGTCGGTCAAGGGTCGTATTACTCATTACTAAATCATTAAAACGGTATGTTTTCAGGGATAGCGAAAGTATGTCTCGAGGAAGGTAACAAAGAATACAGACAAGGAGAAGCTAATAAAGCGATAAACTCTTACACGGAAGGACTTCATGTGAACTGCAAAGATAAACGACTCAACGCCAAGCTTTACAGTAACAGGGCAACAGCTCATTTCCGTTTGGGTAACAATTTCATTTCTAAATATATAAATCTCTCATGCAGCGTTACAAGATAACGGAATACACAATCTGCATCAAGAAAAGAAAGAAGTTGAGCAACAGCAGAGGAAAAGCACAAATACATGAATCCCCCTTTAGTGGATGAAAATTAAGAAAAGAAATGATTCTCGTTATTAGACTGCAATTTAAGCAATTGTAATTTTTCAGGCTTCTTTGCTGCAATTTCATTGGATGAAAACTTTTTTAAACCTCATTTCCTGAATCTCATAGCAAACTACATGGAATGTCTGGATGATGCAACAGTTGCTGTTCAATTGGAACCCACTTTCATCAAAGCTATTAAGAAAGGTGGGTTTTTCAGACATAAGCCATCAACATTTTATTCTCTGATTTCGTCAAAAGAGGATTGTGTGGTTTGTGGCAGGTAACTGCACTCCAAGTGTCAATTGTATCTGGTGTGTCAATGTCTGTTATGTGGATATAAAGCATAAGGAAATGTCAATAAGCTCTCAAATACCGCTGCCTGGTTAGTTCACGTTGTAGAGCGCCGGAGGTCGAGGGTTCAAGCCTTGGACCGGACCATCACCTTGAGTCTTAAAATATCTGAGGGCAATGTGCTGCCGCCTAAGCTGTGACATCTGCAAATGGTTTGATATTCTTGTCACGGATATGGACGGAAAACTGTGAGCCCCGTTTCCTAAATCTTCTCTGTAACTATTAGCAGGGGACGTTACAAAACCCGAAAAAGAAGCACCTGAAAGATTCCCAATCAAGAGTTAAACTGCTCAATGCAGTCTTCCCGAAAACTTCCCCGAAAAATGCTGAAAAGTGCATAACAGCACATTAAAAGAAAGAATGCGCGAGATAAATTCGTCGTTATCATCATAAATTGAAGCTTAATTGGTAGCCGCTTTGCATTAGCTCCTTATTGTTCATTTTGAGTTCTTCCACAAGTTCAAATTTCCTTCATTATCACAATTTTTGTTCCCAGCTAAATGAAAAATTAAGTCCATTTTATCAATACGTTTATACCTTAACAGTGATAAATTACCTCGCACCACCAGTTATTCTCTCCTTTTCAGGAGCCAGAGCTTGTGTTGAACTTTGCTGGTATAAAGAAGCAAGGAGCTGGTTGCATATGGGATTGACCGTATCCTTTAACGAATGTTTCCAGCGTGATACGAGATGCAATGCGAATAATATTTCAAGAATAAAAAAATACGTTCCAGGCAGATTCTTCTACACATAATGCAAGCCATGTTCTCTTATACTGCACTGAGCAGTTTAAAGAAGCTAAAATATTATTAAGGAGTTCTTTCGATTGTTCGACGAAACTTTACTTAAAAGAAGAGGCCATATTAACTAATTCCCAGAGTTTCTGCTAAATGCCCCTCATTTTTGTCTTGAGACGAGCATCACCATGACGACCGAATCTAAACTAATAAATGCGCTTCAGAACTAGCTAACACTCTCGAATAACTTGAAATCAAATCTCTTCAAGAAAACCACACTCGAATTATCATTCCAATTTTAAGGTTTTATCCAACACTCTCATTATTTTAAAAACATATTTCCATTGTATGTTCGCAAATCCGCTCATGATATAGTTACCCTTGACACGTTTTAAGATTGACAACAATAACGAACGTCTGCTTCAATTAAAAAGGAAATCGAATACTGAACTAAAGGTCAAAGCAAACACTTATGCTAGTCTCGGATGTACTTACCATAATGCTGCACAGTTCGATACAGCAATCGAGTACCATCAACTTCATCTAGAAATTGCTAAAGAAGTGGAAGACAAGGCCAGAGAGGGAGCAAGTTATGGCAATCTCGGCAACGCTTATCAAGGTCTAGGAGAGTTCAAAACAGCCATCAAGTACCATCAACGTCATCTAGAAATTGCTAAAGACGTGGGAGACAAGGCCGGAGAGGGTAGAAGTTATGGCAATCTCGGCAACGCTTATCGCAGTCTAGGAGAGTTCAAAACAGCCATCAAGTACCATCAACGTCATCTAGAAATTGCTAAAGAAGTGGGAGACAAGGCCGGAGAGGGAGCAAGTTATGGCAATCTCGGCAACGCTTATCAAGGTCTAGGAGAGTTCAAAACAGCCATCAAGTACCATCAACGTCATCTAGAAATTGCTAAAGAAGTGGGAGACAAGGCCGGAGAGGGAAGAAGTTATTGCAATCTCGGCAACGCTTATCGCAGTCTAGGAGAGTTCAAAACAGCCATCAAGTACCATCAACGTCATCTAGAAATTGCTAAAGAAGTGGGAGACAAGGCCGGAGAGGGAGCAAGTTATGGCAATCTCGGCAACGCTTATCAAGGTCTAGGAGAGTTCAAAACAGCCATCAAGTACCATCAACGTCATCTAGAAATTGCTAAAGACGTGGGAGACAAGGCCGGAGAGGGAAAAAGTTATTGCAATCTCGGCAACGCTTATCAAGGTCTAGGAGAGTTCAAAACAGCCATCAAGTACCATCAACGTCATCTAGAAATTGCTAAAGAAGTGGGAGACAAGGCCGGAGAGGGAACAAGTTATGGCAGTCTCGGCAACGCTTATCAAGTTCTACGACAGTTCAAAACAGCAATGGATTACTATCAACGCACTCTAGAAATCGCTCAAGAAGTGGGAGACAAGGCCGTAGAGGGAAAAAGTTATGGCAATCTCGGCAACGCTTATGGCAGTCTAGGAGAGTTCAAAACAGCCATCAAGTACCATCAACGTCATCTAGAAATTGCTAAAGAAGTGGGAGACAAGCCTGGAGTGGCGTGCTCACTCTTTTCCCTTGGAAACATTTTTGAGTGCCAAGGAAATCTCATGATGGCCTTTGACTATTATTACTCAAGTGTAGAATTGTATGATGATATCAGGGCCAGTCTTCAACTCAACGATCGGTGGAAGATTACTTATCGTAATCTTTACCAAATAGCATACAAAGGTTTGTGGCGTATAAATCTCAAACGAGGTCAAGCTCTAAAGGCTCTTCTTGCCACAGAGAAAGGACGTGCTCAAGCTCTGAGAGATCTCATGACCACAAAATATCAGCCTGGAGATTCTTTAACGGAAGGCGCATCCCACATTTCTCTGAGGTGCGTTACATTGAGCACAGTTTTCATAGCTATTAATGGACCATGCGTTTACTTCTGGGTTTGCCTCAGTGAAGATAACATCCAGATGAAAAAGGTACACGTCAACGATTATAAGTTTGAGGATGAATTGGAACGTTTCATCCAGCTGCTGAACGAAACTACTCTGAAGGAGATCCGTGAAAGAGATACTGTTAAAATCGAAAATCTTCCTCCTCATTCGCCGACAGAAGAGGAAAAGGCCAATGATGTGATCCGAGTTGATGTGAGGTACTCCCAATCAAGTGCTTTAAAGAAGCTGCATGACATTATCGTTGCTCCTATTGCTGACCTGATCGAAGGCAACGAGATAACATTCGTTCCTGAGGGGCCATTTTGCCTTGTACCTTATGCAGCGTTGCTGGACTCCAAGTCATCATATCTGAGTGATTCTTGCACAATTCGTGTGCTTCCCTCTCTGACGACGTTGCAACTAATTCATGATTGTCCAGCTGACTTTCACATCAAGACTGGTGCATTGCTTGTCGGCGACCCATGTTTCAAAGATATCATCTATCAGGGAAGACGTTTGGAACAACTTCCAGGAGCAAGGGAAGAAGTGGAAATGATCGGACGTATCCTCAATGTTCCCCCCCTCACTGGAGAAATGGCAACAAAACATGAAGTTTTAAAACGAATATCATCAGTGGCCTTAGTTCACATAGCAGCACACGGTAAACTGGAAACTGGAGAAGTTATCCTAGCGCCAAACACCACAAGAGAAAACCCTCAGCCGCATGAGGAAGACTATCTACTGACGATGAAAGATGTCATAGAAGCTGGGTTGCGAGCTCGTCTGGTTGTACTTAGCTGCTGTCACACTGCTCGTGGGGAAGTCATGGCAGAGGGTGTGGTGGGCATGGCGCGTGCACTTTTGGGTGCCGGTGCTAGATCTGTTGTGGTAACCTTGTGGGCGATTGGCGACGAGGGAACCCTGGAGTTCATGAGTTTCTTCTACGATGCACTTGCCAAAGGCAAGAAAGCAAGTGAAGCTCTCAATCAGGCCATGAAGTGTATGAGAGAAATTGAAGAGTTCAAGGAGGTGATTTACTGGGCACCATTTGTACTCATTGGTGATGATGTCAACCTGGATGTCAAGGATATTAGAAGCCGAAACAAGTAAATATTCTGTTTATACATTCTATTTAATACAAAGTACCTTAAATCGTAATTATAGCTTATCTATGAGCAATGATACTTGCGTGTTATTTTCCTTTCAGTTGGGTTACGATATTTAGTTTTTGCTCCGGCAAGTTGAGATGCAGTAAAATCAAGAGGACACGTTTACGATGATGACATTCTTTTTAGGAAACCTGATAGTAGTAAAAAAGCACATTTCTTTTAAAACAATCCTTTTGTGCAGTGTATCGTTTCATGTGCTATGAAATATTTTATGGCAACTCAACTATCCTCCCTAAACTTAGATTCTTTTATTTTTCAGTTAAGGCAGTGAGCATTGGAGCCCCAAGGAGTTTTAGAATACCCGCAAACGCTGATATTTGGACCATAAGCCAGTAAGCTACAGATTAAATATTTGTCAAGAGTCTTCTTTTCAAAGCAGGAAGAACCAAAAGGCGACTAAAGTCAAGTTTAACAAGAGAACGGATTTTCATTCATTTAAAAGTTGACTTTTTACTTGTCTGAACTGCTCTTAAGAGCTTGATCTTTTATGTTTCGCTGAAACTACTGGTTTTTTTTATATAATGTCTTGAAATTATCATGAGTAGCTATATAAAAGTTAATTTTTAATCTATGTATTACCTACTAAGCGGATTTGGGCGTTGCATTGGCGTCGAAGTTGAAACGTCTTGAAAACGTTTCCAGAGTTTTTTAGACTTTTACTCAATCGGTTTTTTTCTCATGAGTGATGTAAAGCTGTTACAGCCATGTGCGTGTGTGGAGAATTTCCATGGAAATTGGAAAATAATCAGTTGTCCGATTGCTCGATTTTCTTAGTTTATGTCGGATGGAAATTGTGAGTAACTTCGATAATTTGTACCCAGTCATTGGTACTTAAAGTTAGTCTCTACTGATCAGAATTTAGTTTATCTGGACTTAAAATGACAGATTTTGGCCGTAATGGCAAGGATTTAGTCTTGGTATTACTTAATTTTCTGAGATTTCTCCTTTAATTTTGAATGCGATAAATTGTGTTCTTTTTTACAAGACGATCGATGCATTTTAAGTATATTTTTTAAACTAATCGTTCGAAGGCAAAACGATAAGTTTTATCTTAATTTTAGTTACTGGCGTACACAGCATTAAAAGAAGCTCAGAACGAGTTAGAAAGTTGAAACCAAATGATTTCATTTAGTTTCTCCGATTAGATTGTTTACTTATTATCTAAGTACAATAAACTAACTTTTAAATGTTAAACAATGAAACAAGTCGCTGACATTTTGTTAGAATGGAAGAGGAAATCAATGACAAAGGGAAGAAAATTTCTGCATCAACCTGCATAAGCCATTTCTTGTCGTTTGAAGTAGTGAGTGCGCCTATGTCTTATTCGCTTAATAAGTTTTGCCAATTTCTTTGAATAGGTTTACTGAATGAGAGATAAACTTCGATGTTTTCTGACTCTATAACTGCTAATATCCATCTCGACGCACTTCTTTAGCACGTTATGCGACACATATGATGTTTTGTTACATCTTGTCGTTTGAAGTAGTGAGCGCACCTGTGTCTAGTTCGCTCAACTATTGCCCATTTCTTTGGACAGAGTTATTAAATAAGATGAAGACCTGGTTTTTTTTTCATATTTTATAACTACTAGTTTCATTGGCAGCCGTTCCTAAGGATGTCACGCGACGCGCTTCGGTAGCATGTAAAGCGACATGATGTTTTGTCATATATCTTTGAAGAGGCAAAAAAAAGGAAATTACCTTTCACTTTGGGAGATGATGCTTTATTCCATTTATAGAAAGAGTCCTCATCATGGGTACCCTAGGTCGGTGTGGTTCCTCTAGTGTAGAAAATATTGATGAATTTTTTCTCCACGATTGTAAACTTAACTAAAACAGCCTAAATTACTTAAAACTGAAGAGGGTCGACCGAGGAGAACTTCTTACGGCTAACGGTTAAAATTTTGGCCATTTTTCTTCTGCAGTTAACTCAAAATAACACAAATTAACACTTTGTAGGAAGGAAAGATTTCTAAGGTTAATTTTTTGCTGTAACTAAGGGTTAAAATCTGTCAATTTTTACGCCTAACAGCTAGTTTTTTGACCGATTTACGGCTAACGGTTAACCCTATGGAGACCCTCGACTGAGAAATATGCAAGATGTGAAATGAAAACGGTTTAAGAGGGTGGCATTTTCAACTCGAATTTGGAATTAGACCTTTTAGGGGAAAACAAGCCGTGGAAAAATCCTGGAGGCGAGGATTAAACTGGGAGATCTAAAAAAACTGCGACAACGTAAATGTTTCAGCAGAACATCTCTACTGACGATAGCATATATTACAATCATTAAAAAAAAAAAAGATCCATGGGAAGGGGAAAGGATGAGTCGATGGTCCGTTTATCCCCCCGGGTTGGGAGTGTAAACAGCCACGTGGTTTCATGAGTAGCATCTCCGGACGGATTCTCAAGAATCTAAGACCTACGATTTCAGAAGGTAAAGATAAGAATTTCTCTGAGAAATTGATAGACTTAGGCTTCTTTCGTCTTCTTAAATTTTCTCCTCGTGCTACATAACTCAACTCCGTCTATCCACCCTACAGCGGTTTTTAGTATATACCACAACAGAGCTCTTCGCGTGGGCTGATTGGCTAATCCAGAATTAATAGTCGAACCTGTATTAAGCGGTCGGTTGTAAAATTCCCGAATTTTTTCCTCTTATGCATTGTGACTTTCACCGCTTTTCAGCAGTGGTCTCTATTAAGCGGTTGTGGTCATCCTTGACTGAGTCCCATCGGCCTATTCGGGTTGTATGGAACAGTCACTTAGGGCGGAATCACTCGAATAAAACGACGAATTCTCTCTGAAGTAAAATTTATTCCATGTTTGTCTACCAAAATCAATATTAGTATTTAGAGTTCAAATGTCCTCAACGCATTGCAGATTATCTTTCTTCTCAGGACTGTTTGTATCTAACAAATATTACATAAGAAAATTACGCAAATTATTTCCTTAGTAATTACCAAGAGGTCTGGCCGTTAGAATTTTTATTGATCGTTCTGTTTTTACGCTGCATTATCGTTTTGTTGATGTTATTCGATACATTTTTGAGCCATTTTTTAAAATAAGCTTCACTTGAAAGAGAAAAGATAAATTATAGTACAAAATGTTGTTTTCTTGTCTTTTCTTTGTGACCTGTATTAAACGATGATAACACTCGGTGATAACACTCAGTTACGGGTTAAAAACGGTTGCTCGATTGTACCGTCCTCGTGAATTTGTGAAAGAATTAAATGGTTAGTTATGAGACAAAAAAGACGAGTTCCTTAACGTCATTACCCTCTGGAGTGTACGCCGGTATTTTCGCAAGTTCACGCCGAGATTCCCACGGGACACCTGTCGGGATCTCTCTCGGGATGCCGGTGAGGAGATTTGTACCAGGGAGCCAGCGGGAATTCGCCCGGGATCCCCGCGCGGATAAAAACGAGCAACCAAAATTGAATGAAATCCGGTTTCGTCAGTGGTCCCACCAATCCAATATTTCACTTCCTCCTCACTTTCCACTTCCGCTAAGTTTTTTTCGAGAAAGATCAGAGGTCTCCACGACGTTGGAGTTCGCTAATTGTATATGAATACATTCGCAAGTGTGAAAGAAATCGGCCTTCGCCAAAACACTTGTGTGGTTAATGCTCACAGCTGTCTGTCAACTACGTATTCTTTCTTGCCGCTAGTTCTTTGCTCCTCAGTTCCAAACCCACACCTTCCTTCCCAAGTCTTTCCCCTAATCACGGACCTCAATAATTCACAACATTATTTGGTATCGTGCGCCAATTTTTACTTTTCTTACTTTCATAATAGTTAAAGGAAAAGACAACAACAAAAATAATAAATAAATAAACCAAAACTTCCGCTTAAAACGCGCGAGCAAACCGCAATATTTATTTATTATTTTTCTCTTTTTTTTCCTTCCTATATACTTGGCTTTAAGCCTAACGTAACCCGCTTGCTCTTTTTGTAAATATTACTTTCCAATACCTGATATATTATCTTTAAAAAAAACCATCAAATTCAGATGTACCAAAGAGAATTAATCAACATTTAGAATCCATTATCGTTTACAGAGAAATAGACTCACAAAAACACTCATCTTAGATTGCAAATGTTATCATTTGCCTCTCCATGTTTGCCAGATAATATAATTCCCATTTCCGAAGCCAGCAATAAAAATCCACAATAGCCCTTCTCCATCTACCCATCTCACAGCGGTTTTGAGTATATACTACACATGTGAATAGTGCCTTTTGCGTGGGCTGTTGGTTTGGTGATTATCGCCTGCGCGTGTATCAACCCGGGAATCGACTTTCCAACTCTAGCTTGAAAATAAACATTTACACTTATAGCGGTTTTTTAGCATATACCACATTGGTGAATAGAGCTCTTCACGTCTGCTGATTGGCTAATTCGGAATGAATAGTCGAACCTGTATTAAGCGGTTGACTGTTAAATTCGCGAATTTTTTTGTCCTGTTAAGCACTGTCACTTTCACCGCTTTTCAGCGGTGGTCTCTATTAAACGGTTGTGGTCATCCTTGACTCAGTCCCATCGGCCTGTTCGGGTTGTACGGAACGGTCACTTAGGGCGTAACCACTCGAATAAAACGACGAATTGTCTCTGAAGTAAAATTTATTCCATGTTTGTCTCCTAAAATAAATGTTAGATTTAGAGTTAAAATGTCCTCAACGCATTGCAGATTATCTTTCTTCTTAGGACCATTGTATCTGACAAATATTATGCAAGAATATTGCGCAAATCATTTGCTAGGTAATTACTAAGAGGTCTAACTGTTAGAATTCTAATCTAGTGTTCTGTTTTTACGCTGCATCATCATTTTGTTGAAGTTATTCACCACATTATATACTTTATGGTTGGAATGTGATCTTACCTCCAGGTGTCTCGGAAATGAAGGCATTTCTACTAAGCGTAAAGATACCATTAAAGAGACCTACATTCTTGGATATTTCCGCCTTTTTGTCATTGCCACCTGGCTCAGAAACTTGCCATTTCGAAATATTCAGTCGTTTTCCACTCAGCCAGGTCCAAACCTCGCCTTTCTTCTCAAACCAATGTGCCACGCACCAGTAGTCCAAGTACCACGTTTTTGAATCTCACGGTTGATAAACTGCCATTCTCCTGCAGTTTCGATGGAGACTAAGTCATCTCCCTGACTGGAGCAGATATGCTTGTTTATATCTCAAACTCTTCCCCTTTTCGACAAGATGTAAGAGGAGTTTTTGAAACAGGTTTCTTGGCACTCTATGGGAATAAAAGAAAAGGAAAAAAGAAAATAAAGGAATAAATACATAAATGAAAAAATGTATACTGATGATAACAATCATGCTGATACGAATGTAGAAGCAATCCTCGCACTTATGAACGGTTACATGTGGAATTTAAACCCATTACCTCTCCGATACCAGTGCAACCTATGCCAAATGAGCTAACAAGCCAACTGGGAGCTAGTTTTATTTTTCAGGCCTTATATTTACTACTACTCAAGTAGTGTTCATAACTGCGAGGATCGCTTCCATATTCTTTTCTTCAACCGCAGTGCACATGTATGATTTTCATATATTTACAGTCATGTAATAATGCTGATGATGGATTCGAGAAAGTATTTTTTTACATTTAATTTTAATAACAAACGATAAGCAACAAAACCCTTTACGTCACTGAAGCAAAAATTAGAATTAGGCAAGGTTTTAAAAGTGGAAATCAGGGAAATCATCATAATGGCACCGTTATCCTTTGACTTTTTTGTTTTGCTTTCCAACTCACGTTTTAGATCACGAAGTCTGTGACTGGTTATTAGCGAAATCAGTCAGATATTGTCTTTTTTTCCGTTCATTTGAAGGTACATGAATGTTATAATTGGAATTAAACTGCCCTACCTGTTCCTTGCAAATCCATCAACAAAGGAAGGATGAATGTAGAAGAGGAAATGAGCAAATAAATTGATTGTTTTCTCAAGAACAACATTTGAAACGATGAAAAAGTTTATTAGATTTCGAGTTAGACTAGTACTAATGCATTTAATTGCTATATGCCCTGTAACATCTACCCATGATTTTTATTTCCTTCCTCAGGGAGCAGACGGAGAAATTTAAATAAAGTACAGCATCTGTGCAATTTACCAACCAGCCGAACAAAACTTGTTACACGAGGGAAACATTTTTAAGGATACAGTGGACCCTCGCGAACGTCCTTCGGACAGAATTTTTAAACGGGCCATTTGAAGTGGACCCTGATAATTAATCCGATCTTTCGTCTAAGCACGTCGAACGTTCAGCACCTATCTGAAGAGAAGACGTATCCCCCTTTTGACATCTTGTCGTAGTGGTGGCATAAAACGATAGCAACTAAGCTATTGTGTTCCTGTCATCCTAAATATGGCTGCCAAAGCTGTTGTACAGACAACCATGACGCAAATAACATGACCACCGCATGGATGTCTCGCCTGTGCTATTTGATCTTTGATTACTTTGCACTATATGGAATCTAATAGGCTTTAGGAATCCAGTTTATAAGAGATCCTACTCTGATTAAGAATTAAGAGTTTAATGCAGACATCTTTAGAGTCTGTTTTGTTTTGTTTTGTTTTAATTAACAGTGTCAAATAACCGCCACCTCTCTGTTTCGTTTGGCTGAATTTCACAAATGGAAAGTCAAGATATAATTAAGGTGGTACTTACCTAGCGCACAACTTATTAAAAAAGGTTTCGCACACTTTGCCGGATTTAGTTGTACTCATCACACAATTCAATCATTTGGCATTATGCGGAAGGCGATTAATATCGAGAAACTAATAATAATGATAATAATGATAATACAAAGATCCCAAACTTTTGCTTTAATGATTAACAAATAGTTTAGAAAGGACATGTGTAGAGTTTGGTATCTTTTGTTATCAGAGTTCCGTAGGTTTAAAATGGAAATAAATATTTCATAGATTGGAAAGTCAGTTTCGACAGTTTCGTAGCTACAGCAGAACAAAGGGGAATAACTAGTGTCGTACTTACCCAGCACAGAACACATTAAAAGGGTTTTGAAAATTTTGCCGAATTCAGCTCCATTTATCATCTACTTCATCATGCCCAAAGTAAGCAAAGGTTGCTCTTAGGAGCTATCGCTGCACTTAAATTTGATTCACCCCGCTTGAGAGTTTTGAGTTTGCGACGTCCTCATAAAACGCTTTGGTACGAGTTTGAATTTGATGCAAATCATGATCTGTGATTGCATATTCATGGCGTTAGTCTCCATTTTTATTTTTCTGTCAAAGACTGACCAATAGACAAAAAGCAACTTACACCAGATGCGGAGCATTGTTTTCTTAATACAATCGAAAAACCTCACGGCATTAAGACACTTTTTGTAGTTGAAGTTTTGTAAAGAAGCAGCTCAAAAATAATTGACTTTAAAATGATTATTTCTGTTTGAGCTCTGCTAAATGAAAGTTGTGTCGAATAAACTTCTTTTTATCGACTGGTAGCTAAAGCTATTACGCCATCTGTTCGTATGCATAAAATAATGGAAATGATTATTATTTATTCATCTCGCCTATGACATGCCATACGTTTCAGTTGGTGGGTCTATTTAATTCGTACGCCTTTAACTTTGATGGACTAACTCGCTCATGTGTCAATTAACACGCATTATTATCATGCAAACCATCACTTTTGTGTCCAAATGTTCGAATTACAACATTTTAGAAGGAGCGGGGAGGTCAAAAGCTCTTTGTGCAAGACGTTCTTGGGTCATAATGATGTGCTCTGTGGGCGAGACATTCTACTCTCCCAGTATCTCTCCACGCTCATGGAATAATTGATTTTCTATTCTCGAATATTCCCGAGTTAGCTGCGATCTATTTAGTCAATCGAAGCTTGAAGCGTTTTGACCTATCGCATTTGAGTGGTGTCGAGAGAAATTTTCTTGTATAGCCCAGAAAAATTCTTATTTTTACTTCTTCCGTCTTAATCGTACGCTTCGTCATTCATGTTTGTTTATAAATGGGTTTGACGTAACCTAGACTGTTGCAAACTGTCACACACATCTACATAATCGACTCCTTCTCCTGCTTGTCGAAATTCCTCTTCAGTGTTACGTCTCCGCTGTAGTGATATTTGAAAACCAGGCCCATGGAAATATTCCATATTTCTGTCGCTGAGCTTTTTCCTTTAAATAGTCTACGCTGCATAAAAGTTCTTTAATCGTTCTTTAATAATGTATGCCGAATAGTTTATAATCTCTTGGTTTATGCCATTTCCGCCTAACATTGCCCCAATTTAATTCCAAATTAATCGTTGTATTATTGATTCACAACGATACTCCTTATTTTAGGAATGTGAAAAAAAAATGGTTAAATGTTACTGATCCACAAAAGATCCAGCCATAGGGGTTTTTTCTGTTCTTTCCAAATTAGTTGTTTGTTTATTTATTGAAACATTTACGTATTCATCTACTTATTCATTAAGCATCAAATTTGAATGTCAGCCACTAATACTATTAGTATAATTTGTTACAGTACAATTTAACCGACAGAAAGAGCATTATTTATCAACAAACCTAACTACTTTATTAAACAACTTGTAATATTCATATCAATGAGCGACTCCTAAAGGAAGTAGAGTAATTATCCTTAAATAAACTTAAAGAAGCCCACTACAAACTATATCTTAGCTCAGTATTGACACAATCTCACAGTTTTCTCCAAAGTTCACCTAAATTAATAATCTTCCACAGTAGCTCTCTTTCGGTACAGCGTTCTGAAAAATCAGTCACTCCCGACAACAACAAGTACTACTGCTACACGACTCAGTCCTTATGTACAAAGTATTCCAGAAAATTCTGGAAGCTTACAATATAACTATATTGGTAGTGTTATTGTAACCTTATTCGAAGGACAGTCGTCGGCATACTGAGCCATTAGAAATTTAAATTGTTAGATTGGTTTATGTCGTCGAATCTTGCCCGCATCTATCCGATTGCCGAGAGAATAACCTTATAATCATGAAGAAGTTAGGTTACGTTTACAACTAGTTGGGTGCTTAAACAAAGATGAACAGAATGACCTCTTTTAGCTGCAGATCGTAACTCAGACCGATCGCAACCGACTAATCGCTGTTAACTAAGTGTTTGTACCAAGAAATTGACGGTCTTTTCCGGTTGGCTATATCCAATTATTTAAGTTAAGTGCGATTTCGATTCAAATTTAGCAAAAGACTGCAATTCGACTGCCCATATATCCCCAACCTCACTTGGATTGACCCGTGAGCTCTTCCTTGAATAGTTGTTCTTTATAGAAGATGGAAAAATGATATTCATTTTTCTTTTGAGTCGCTCTTTGATCTGCAGATAGACAAGCAATACGGTTCTTAGTACTAGTACTCGGATATCTATCGAAATACTAAAAGTTAATAATCAGTTTGATGTTTTTTCTTACCTGAGTGTTTCGCATACAGTGTAGAGCGAAAATCAGGAAACCCTGCAGCATAAATATGATTTCAAGATCATTAATTTTTACAATATGCAAATAAATTAGTCAGATATCTATTAAGATTTCCAAGAAGGAAGGAAAATTGCATATCTTATAATGGAAAAAGAAGTCTGTCTTCTCTTGCATAGTTAACAGCTTTCTGTTTTCAAAATTCCAAAAAATATCATATGACCATTGTAACGGTGTCTCACTTGGTTAGAAAGTAACATAATAGATATTAAACGATTTTGAGAGATGTCATCGAACACTGACCTGAGCAGAGTTAAGTATGGTGAAGATGTAAGCGAAAGCTTTATGTACAGGCGAGAGGAGACCGAATAGCCACGTGACACCCAGCAAGGGAATCATCACCACGCTTGCTTTGATGCCAATTCTAGGAATTAAGAAAAAATATTCCATAACTTTCGTTGACAATGGATTTTCATTGTTAGATATAGTAAGGCCTGACTGATTAATGAAAGGGGAAGTTTGAGGAATATAGCCTCACAGGAGGCTATATTGTTTTAGTTTTATGTTGTAAATCTTACCTTATTTGCTGAAGATGGTTGTCTTCCCCTGTTGGCTGCAACAAATTGGTCATCTCCCTTATGACTCGTATGAGTATCAAGATGTTGAGCTGAAGAATACAATAGAAATAAATTGATTATCTAGATATGGTTATCGAGTAGCCAAAGCAGGAGAGGATCCTTGACAGAGACGTTACTAGTTTGGTAACAAGCTTGGGATAAAAGAGTCATTGACAGGAAATAGAACTCTCAACCGGGGTACCTAGATTATGAGCTTCGATTATCTGACAATGAGCTAAAGAAATCGCGAACTAAAGTGTCTAAACTGAATGAACTATGTCAAGTGAATCCTAGCGTTAAATTATATCAATTTACTATCTTCTACTCTTCCTGTTCCTTTCTTCCTGTTCAATGTATTTTTTTTTAGTTATTCTTGCGCGAAAAAAATCTTTATATATCAATGTGAAACAGTGAGAAACCATCAACAGGGGGGAAGGAATTTTTTTTCTTCATACTATGTACTAAAAGTTGGATAATTTATGAAGCTATCCTATGCTTGTAAATACACTGTCTCAACAGGTTTTTCTCGCTGTTAAAGGCCATCAATAGGTTAAAATCGACAAGCATCCTCGCAAACAGCAGCTACGTCCAAAGTTTGTTGTGAGTAAATAGGAAAAGAAAAATGGTTAACATTGTGTGGGGTCATATCATAAATATTTAAATCGTTTTTTAAAGAGCAGAGAAAAAAATCTTTAGCAGCAAGTAGTCCTGGTAAACCAATCACAATCACCAACACGAATCATAAACTCACAATTTCAATGAAAGCTACAAAGGCGACGAATATCCAGATCAGGTTGTTAGTCGAGGAAAGCCAGCAACTAAACTCGAAGAAGTGAAACACAGGAAAGAAACACAAATTTTTAGCGAATGAAATGATGCCAATTTCAAAATATGTGCAAAAACAAAACAAACAATTAAATGCAACAAATTAAAAGGAGAAGAGTAAGAAGAAACCCTTGAATTTTTTTCTTACTATTTATCACTCGTGTAGCTTTGTAACCCTCCTTTTCCAGCAGCGATGCCAAGTGACATGGCCACCATGATCACTGGAAGACCTACCCATAGAGAAAGGAAGGAAATCGTAAAACTTCGCTGGATGACAACATCATATTTGGTGATCCGAAAGCATGGTTACAGTCACTAGTGTATGTTGTGAAATAATGGACTTACCCCATGAGATGACGTGATACATGTACATCTTGCTGTTGATGTTGTAAACTTTCACAACGAAAAGGTAGAGAAATATTCCCTCTATCAGCATCCAACAGAGAGCGGCCATCAAGAAATACTGCATCAGAGCTGCTATTGTAACACAGGCAGCCTGTGGAAAGAAAGAGTTTTCGTATACTTATGACGCTCCTTTCGACAAGATATTTACGGTGCAACGGGGAAATTCGTTCCATGGATAGAAAAAGGGGCCACTAACTTTGTTTTCTGTGGCGTTTATTCCGGCGAGGAAGATGATCTGTCCAGCTCCAAGGGACATAGAAACACTCATTCGAATTTGAGAGAGAGGTTGACCAACATCTCTGATGAAATAGTAAAAAAAAAGAAGTAATAATAGTAAAAAAAAAAAAATAGTGAATTAGAGAAAAGCAACAACAACAATAACAACAACAAACTAAAGACACTAAGCACAAAAAAGAAGAGAATTGAATTAATTATATGGTACAGTAAAATATGGCCAAAGAAATCAAGTAAAATTCTGACAGCAAATGAAAGAAAAAAACTCAGTAAATAGCTCCAGAAAGTACAAAAAAAGAAAGTATCACGGGGGAAATGACTAAACCATAAGCAATTCATAAACAATGAAACTATGAGTTGTTCAAGCGTTCTTTATGGGGCATGGAATGTAATTTGAATTTTTGAGTTACCCGACATGCGTGTTTTTATTGGCATGGAGATTTGCACTGAGATCTCTTTTCTCTCTAGCATAGTTGAGGGAATCTACCTCACTGATATTCAGGTACATTACTTACGTGAGGCAAGAATAAAGTATTAATGTTAAAAGGATCCCGACGATGGAAAGGCTTAGTCCGACGTGGGTGATAATTTTCAGAGCTGTTTCGTCCTCTTCGGCGAGCTGTGTCAAAAAGAAAAAATTTAAATAAGAACATTGAGTTAGTTAAATGTTAGTTAAATTATTTTGGCTTTTGATTACCTTTGTGCTACCGTCGTGGTTCATTAAGACGGCAAAATGCGTCAAATGATTGCAGCTGCAAACTGTTTCTTCTGAATTGCTTTTTAATGAAACTACATGGCATCCTTCCTCTGAAAAGCCTTCTGACCTAAAAAAAAAGTAAAGTTAACAAAGCGCACAAAATTAAACATTGTTTGGGGAAGAGGTGATGTTCGGTAATTTTACGTTATAGTTGTAGTGTCTTAGTTGGGAGAACATTTTAGTCGGACTTTACGAAAAAAGACAACATCTTAGCTTCCAGGAAATTGTTAACCTGAACAATGAATAAATACTATACAATAATATATTGCAGTTTTTTACCTTGTGTTAAAGCCACTCCAAAACATACAACGCTTCTCTGCTGTCGAAACCTGAAAATAGATTTTATCATTTCAAAATAAATCAAAACAATGCATAACAACTTATTTTAATTTTACCTTCAGATTTTCGAACTTTAGGATGACATTTACTCGCAACTTGTTTGGCTTGGGGTCCATAGCTATGGCCATTATCTTGGAGTTGATATAACTATGAAGGAAATTTATTTAAAAATAAATCAGAACCAAAGAAGTAACATCGTGTACCTTTGACAGATTGAAGCGAATTTTTCATGAAGGTGGAATGGTCTGAGACAGGCAGGGAAACTTCCAACTCCAGTTAAGGTTTTGGAAAGTGTCTAAGTTCAGGTTAGTTGAACGTAGATCTTATGTGTTTCCGTGTTACGTATTTCCATGGAAAGCGACATACAAAAATAGGAAAATAGCATCACCTTTTGTTGTCTGTTTCACTCCTGATAGCTTGATCTGTCAGAAGTAGGTCATGCAGATCCTTGTACACGAACGCAACTACCAATGATCCTTAACCCCCAAAAACAACAAAAAAAGGAATGAAACAGCAAAAAGCACGCAATATTCAAATTTTCTTTAGGCTCTGAGGATGTGACATCAGAAGGAAGGCGGATGATGAAGAAAATAGACTATGTAAACTAATGAAGCTCATTCTTAAGGTTTTATCTCGATATATAAAATTCCACTAAAGAAATTAAGGCAACTAAAAGCTGTATAGGTAACACCTTATTTAATACGAACCATTTTCCTCAAAGTTTGAAGAGGCAATATTGATTCTCGTATGCCATTGTTGTACCTCAAGGCTGAAGTCACTCGCATTCAAGTGATAGGCTTTTTGAATTACCAAAACTGTCGGAAAAACAATACTTATAGACAACATACGTTTTGCGGTATAGTTTATAATCATATTGGATGGACGTGTATTGTTTGTATTGTATTTACCCTTTCATGACTCTCCAACGAATACAACCATTTTAAAAACGCTTTTTTAAAGGAAAACTGAATAAAAATGTGAGTAGTTCTACACGGACTAAAATTGTGAAAAATCATTTCTGAAATGCCATCCCCGTTTCAGCAGAGAAAATTAGCGTTCATTAGGGAGTTTTTACCAGTGCGCTTAAAAAGCAGGGATTTATATACATCGCAGACGATATGCCAATTTTGAGCTCAGTGCATAGTATGAAGTAAAGGGAAATATTTGCAAGATTTGATTATTCCAGTAGTAATTTCTGCTCACAAATATACTTTATTATTAAGGATAAATTGCAAAAACAGAGCGAGAAGAAGGGTTTTAAAATTTTGAAGGATTCCTTTTTTCTCTTCTTGATTGTTCAAGAATACCTCTAATTTTCCTCTCCACTGCAAAAAATTAAAGCGTCAAAGAAATTTAAAAAAACAAATGAGTCGATGGCATACAACAACATTTCTAAAAGGTTAGGTTTACAGTGAGTTCTTACATCGTCTAGGAACTAACACAACTCAGTCCGTTGGTCAGCAAGTCAGTAAGTAACAGAGGAATACACTTTAAAACTAAACAGAATTGTAGGCCGTAACCTCACCTATTTTTGGGAAAACGAACCTCTCGAAAGGTCTCATTCCGCTCAGGTGTTGCTTGCCATAATTAAGGGCAAATTTCTCGAAGGCTTTTGCCACTTTAAAGATGGATATTCTTAGCGTTTTAACCTCTTCCATGCCAGCCTTGTCTTTTGTGACGTTCTTGATTTTTATGATGAAATCTTCAAACATAGTTACAGCCTCCTACAGTTACATATTAAAATATTTCCAGATCTTAATTAGCCTGTCTCGTATAGACAATTCGTACTAAGAATGCAGATAGAGCCTAGCCTGAGGCCTCAACTGATGTTTAGGGTTTCAATTGCTACAAAACTCTTTTAGGAGCCTGAATTTTTATTATGAAAATTGTATACCTCTATGGTACTCCTTCTGGTATTGATTAGTTCGTCAAATTTTAAAACATACTCATTTTCCTGGAATAAATAAATTAAAAAAGTGTCTGTCAAATTTATAAACCGTGCAGGTCCTGAAAAGAAACATGCAGAGACATATTTGGAACACATACCAGTGCCCTTAACAACGATGACAATGATGCTGTTTGCAATAGCAATGACGAGCGAGAGGACGTTGCCGAGGGCGATTGCGATGGCGATGGTGATGGCAATGGCGATGGCGACGGCGACGGCGAAGACGACAATGGCGAAGGCGATTGCAATGGCGATGGCGATGGTGATGGCAATGACGACGGCGACGGCGACGGATAGGCGACAATGGCGATGGCGATGGCGACGTGGATGGCGACGGTGAATGCAATGGCAATGACGAGAGTGAGGACAAGGCTGAGGGCAATGGCGATGGCAATGTCAATGTCGATGGCAATGTCGACGGCGACGGCGATGGCAATGGCGATGGCAGTGTGGATGGCAATGGCGATGGCGATGGCGATGGCGATGGCGATGGCGATGGCGATGGCGATGGCGATGGCGATGGCGATGGCGATGGCGATGGCGATGGCGATGGCGATGGCGATGGCGATGGGGATGGGGATGGCGATGGCGATGGTGATGGCGAGAGCGAGGGCGATGGCGAGGGCGAGAGCGATGGCCATGGCGATGGCGAGGGCGATGGCGATGGCGATGGCGATGGCGATGGCGATGGCGATGGCGAGGGCGATGGCGAGGGCGAGGGCGAGGGCGAGGGCGAGGGCGAGGGCGAGGGCGAGGGCGAGGGCGAGGGCGAGGGGGATGGCGAGGGTGATGGTGATGGCGAGGGGGATGGCGAGGGTGATGGTGATGGCGATGGCGATGGTGAGGGCGATGGCATGAGCGATGGTGACAGCGATTGCGATGGCAAGGGTGATGGCGATGGCGAGGGGGATGGCGAGTGTGATGGTGATGGCGATGACAATGGTGAGGGCGATGGCATGAGCGATGGTGACAGCGATTGCGATGGCAAGGGTGATGGCGATGGCGAGGGGGATGGCGAGTGTGATGGTGATGGCGATGACGATGGTGAGGGCGATGGCATGAGCGATGGTGACAGCGATTGCGATGGCAAGGGTGATGGCGATGGCGAGGGGGATGGCGAGTGTGATGGTGATGGCGATGACGATGGTGAGGGCGATGGCATGAGCGATGGTGACAGCGATTGCGATGGTAACGGCAATAGCGATGGCGACAGTGATGGTGAGGGCGACGGTGACGACGATGGTAAGGGCGAGGGCGAGGGCGAGAGCGAGAGCGAGAGCGATGGCGATGGCGATGGCGATGGTGAGGGCGATGACGATGGCGATGGCATTGGCGATGGCGAGGGCGAGGGCGAGGGCGAGGGCGAGGGTGATGGCAATGGCGAGGGGGATGGCGAGTGTGATGGTGACAGCGATTGCGATGGCAAGGGTGATGGCGATGGCGATGGCGAGGGGGATGGCGAGGGTGATGGTGATGGCGATGACAATGGTGAGGGCGATGGCATGAGCGATGGTGACAGCGATTGCGATGGCAAGGGTGATGGCGATGGCGAGGGGGATGGCGAGTGTGATGGTGATGGCGATGACGATGGTGAGGGCGATGGCATGAGCGATGGTGACAGCGATTGCGATGGCAAGGGTGATGGCGATGGCGAGGGGGATGGCGAGTGTGATGGTGATGGCGATGACGATGGTGAGGGCGATGGCATGAGCGATGGTGACAGCGATTGCGATGGTAACGGCAATAGCGATGGCGACAGTGATGGTGAGGGCGACGGTGACGACGATGGTAAGGGCGAGGGCGAGGGCGATGGCGATGGCGAGGGCGATGGCGAGGGCGATGGCGAGGGCGATGGCGAGGGCGATGGCGAGGGCGAGGGCGAGGGCGATGGCGAGGGCGATGGCGAGGGCGAGGGCGATGGCGATGGCGATGGCGATGGCGATGGCGATGGCGATGGCGATGGCGATGGCGATGGCGATGGCGATGGCGATGGCGATGGCGATGGCGATGGCGATGGCGATGGCGATGGCGATGGCGATGGCGATGGCGATGGCGAGGGGGATGGCGAGTGTGATGATGATGGCGATAACGATGGTGAGGGCAATGGCATGAGCGATGGTGACAGCGATTGCGATGGTAACGGCAATAGCAATGGCGACGATGGTAAGGGTGATGTAGATATTGATGAATCTTTAAAGAAAAATAAAGCTTAAGACCATATCATAAGATAAAATTGCCTTAATTTTACACTATGATGGCAAAAATGCAGGCAGAAAGCATACCAACAAAATGGCCGCTCAGAACGATGAAATCTCTCAAATGCACTCGATGTTTTGTTGGTTAAACAGAACACTTTAATTGTTTCCTTTGCATTTTCTAAGTCGTTCGCACACGTCTTCTGTGATTGATGTTCCGATAAAGTTTTGGGTTATTTTTGGAAACTAGACGCTAAATGAGTAGAGAATGAAATATCTTCTGAAGAGTTTTCCCTAGTAGCTGAAAAAGCTGTAAGACAATATTTTAACAGCTTGTTCCGTATTCTGTTGTTTGAATTATATTCCACCGATCAAATTCCATTATGCCTCATTAGACTTTTCTCCATCACGAGTTATTTCCTCCTAAACAACTTGCATTTTATCACTTATTCGAACCGCATTATCCAATACCAAAAAATTCACGTGAAACTGAATGCTACTGATAGTGAATTATGTACGTAATTCTCCCGCGTTATGACTTTTCGTGAGAATAAAAGTCGCTTTTAGCTACTTTGGGCTTAATCCCATCGCATTTTAATTCAGGTGGCAAAGTCCAGATAGGCAACAACGAACCAAGGAGCCGTCTTTAAAATACTTTCCTCATCTCTTATTCAATATATCTCCACTTCTTCGAGATCGCAATCTATCTTTGGCTAGGGTCTATTGGAAATACTACGGAGTTTCGTTTCGCTTTTGGTGGTAAAACGAGGATTCTTTTTTGAGGTAACTAACTGTAGACGAATAATGTTGATCTTGCTGTCTTAGGAACAGCAGTAAACTTTCTCTTTCTCGACCGTTATTTGTGTGACGAGACCAAACAACAACGGTAAGCGTGGCACCGATGCATTTTATTTTTCCTCAGAGGGTTTTTAGACAACAGAGACAATAGACCACAAATAGTGTAAGTTCAGATAATTTAGGTTTTGTTTTCTTTCTTTTTAGGTGAAGTAATGCGATATTTTCGCTATTTTAAAAGTTATGCTTTTTTCCGTTATAAAACTGAAAGCGTTAGGAACACCAAGTGTCCCATCTCAACCCTCCTAACCAAAATAATAGTTCTTACATGCTTCGCATGTCTATGTTTATCTTTTCGGTGAGCAGAATATCAATTAAACTCCACCTCAGTTTTGACTATTTTTAAAACAAAAGAATGTATCTACGCCCCGTGGTAACATAATTATGAGAACTGAGGCAACCCTTACTAACCTCGGTGCAGAATAGTGGTTGCTAGGTCGATCGAAGTGCTCGCAATATTCGAATTAGATGCAGGATGGTCAGTTTATTATGTTCACCGCACATTTTGCGCTGCATTGAAATTAGCCCCTACAACTTTACAGTTCAAACGATTGGATATTAAAATAGTATGCAATAAACGTAAAAGTGATTCCCCTTTGCGAAGAACAAATAAGTCTGCAAGTCTTCTGTAGCTGTTTTATAAAACGATAATCGGCATGTATCTTAACTGACATGAGTCACTAGCACACAAAAGATATCGCAATTCACATTATCACGCGTTATCAACTAGCAAAGCAATTGGACTGATGATTCTTTGCAATTGGAATTCACTATCAGTTTCGCAACTGCTGTTACTCGTAATAGTGATAGTAACAGGACCGTCTATAACTTTCCTCCGCTCACAATGTTAAAAGTTAGACATCTATATCGTTAAAACGTTCATTGAAACATATTTTCATTTAAGCAAAGGTAAGTGTAAACTTGATCCTGACTTTCAGAGTATATATATATTCTGTCGTGAGTATCACAAACGTTAGGAAAGAATGTTTTTGTTACACTTAATCGCTTCTAGAGCCTTTTAGTTTACTCAAAAGAACATTTAAGAAAAAAAAACAACAACGACAAGTTAACTCACCATTGGAAATCTCACAAATATAAGCGTGCTGTTTTGTCCAAATTTCCCTATCAACACTACCAAACAAGCCCCGTTCGTCATTACTGAACCGCTTGTACATGAAACCAACGTCGTGTTCACCACTTGGCTCCCCTTGTCCCCATTTGGAAACAGTCAGCGGTCTCCCATTCACCCAGGTCCAATTACGGTCCTCTTTCATTAAACCAATACTCCATTTATTTTTACAGCTGGAAGTATTCCGCCTTTGAATCTCGTTATTGATGAAATTCCATTCTTCTTCGGTTTCAATGGAAACTAGGTCCCCTCCTTGACTCTGGCAGATATCTCTGTTCAGGTGCCAGTACCATCCATCCACCGAAATTATGTACCGAGAGTTTTTAAAAGTTATATTTGGGCATTCTACAACATGATAAAGATGAAGACAAAGATACTAATTATCACGATGACGATAAACAAAATGATAATTATAATAAAGATGATAACATAATAAGATTATCATCACAATCACAATAAAGGAGAAAAATGAATGAGATAAAAAACGTGACTTATTCCTTATTTGATTCCTTTTTTCTAACATTATGTTTTTTTAGTGTAAATTAATACAATACATCTTTCTTCGCTCCGGCGTCTGCAATCTCTGACCTGCTTTTCTGAATTGGTTGACTTCACATCAGCTAAGATTATCTATGAATTCGTGTAATTTTGGTAGTTGAGTTTTTGAATAATAAATTAGTTCCTCGCTGAGCTGAGCGCCGTTACTGTTGTTGTTGTTGTTGTCGTTTTAAGGCGTGGATGCGCTTTTGTCTTACGCAATCTCTAATTGACAGGTGCCAGATTGTGACAGATACTTGTTAAAATAAATTGTTTCAAAATTCTATGGAAGCCTTTTAAATCATCTTGTTCCCTACACTAAAAATATCTCGGTCAAGCCTCTCTTCAATTTGCATTACCTTTGTCTGTTTCAACTACCATTCACTCGCTCAAAATTTGTTCAGTTCATGGAGGATCTTGCCTTAATTATAACCTTAAATCATTAGGGTTGTTTTTAAAAACATTTCTTTGAGTTTAAGAGAAAAAAAAACTATTATTCACCAGCCTAGGTCGGTCCCTTATTGGAAAAACTGGGCACTCTGTCCTAAGTGCCGGTTCTCAAGACCCTGGGCACAGTATTACCCAATACGGACCTCTCGGCTGTGAATAACATATTTATCACTGACTCGTAAAAGAAACACACACAGACACACCCACGCACGCACACACAAAAAATAAAAATTCTTCGATGTGTTATGCTCAAAACAGCATGCATACGCTCACTGACCTCAGTGAACACTTCTAATTTGTGTCACGGAAAAATTCCGTTGGCTAGATTATTTCAACCGTAGCACGCTCGACAAAAGTTGAGAAATGTACAATTTCGGTCGCTCTTTTTCCAGCTGCAGGCGATGCAAAAAAGGTCAGTTCTAGAGTGATCAAATTGCTTCTTGAAACATGTGTCCCGGAAATTTTTATGGGTATTATGTTCAAACACTATTAGGCGCATGAAAGTTCATTTATCGCTTACACGTACAAGTTAGGTGAGCTGAGCATATTCTGTGAACAATATTTTTACTTTTAAGAATCAAGAGAAATTTTCACGACACAAGTGCAAGACTCTAATATTTCAGCACATAATATACTTTATGGTTGGAATGTGATCTTACCTACGGGCATCTCGCAAATGCAGGCATTTTCATCATTCCAAGAGATACCATTAAAGAGGCTTCCATTCTCGGATATTTCCGCGCAATTGTCGTTACCCTCTGGCTCAGAATATCGCCATTTCGAAATATTCAGATGTTGTCCACTCTCCCAAGTCCAATTCCCGTCTCTCTTCCTTAAACCAATATGCCATGCACTAGTATTCCCAGTACCACGCTTTTTAATCTCATTACTGATAAACTTCCATTCTTCTTCAGTTTCGATGGAGACTAAGTAACCTCCCTGGTACCAGCAGACATACCAGTTGAAATTCCATCTTGCTGCACTTTTCGAAAATACGTAAGAGGAGTTTTTGAAACAGGTTGCTTGGCACTCTATGAGAAAAAATAAAGGAATGAATAAATAAACGAAAAAATGTATACTGATGATAACAATTGTGATAATGATAATGATAATGATTGAGACGAGAAATTATTTTTTGACACTATTAATTTTAATAACAAACAATGGGCATCAAAACCCTCTACATCACTGAAGCGAAAGATTTTAAAACTGGAAATAAGGGAGATCAGGGTAATAGCACCGTTATTCTACGACTTTTTTGTTTTGCTTTTCAACTTACGTTTTGAGTCACAATCCGATGTAATCCCAACAGGAAGTCTGTAAGTCTATGGCTAATTATTATGATAATCAATCAGATATTATCTTTTTTCATTTTAAGGCGCATAGATGTTAAAATCGGAATTACACTTCCTCACCTGTTCCTGACAAATCCATCAACAAATGAAAGATGACTGTATAAGAGAAAACGAGCAAAAAAATTGATCATTATCTCAAGAATAACATTTGAAACAATGAAAGAGTTTATAAGATCTCGAGTTAGACTATTGCTAATGGAGATTATTTGCTACATACCCTTTGGCATCTACCCATGACTTTTATTACCTTCCCTAGGTTGCAGAAGGATAAATTTTAAAAAATGCAGCATCTCCACAATTTACCAACCAGCTGAACAAAACTTTTCACATGGAGAAAACATTTTTAAGAGTATAGTAGACCTTCGCGAATGTCCTTCGAAAAACTTTTTTACACGGGAAATTCGGAGTGCAACCAAACCATATATCAATGAAAAGGTGCGCTATTCAAAAAAAAAAGATGTTTCGTTTTAGCTCGCAACAATTCGAAACGGACGATGCTTTATTAAGCGAATTAATCAGGTATCGATTCTGACCGCTCAAATAAAAATTCTGCTCAATTTCAATCTTGAGGAGTTGGTCTCCAAAATTTAGTGAGGATTTTTCCATATTCTTGGGAGTTACTAAACTATGGATCAGCAGACCGCGGAACCTCCACCATAGATTTTTTTACAAAAGAAGAGCAATGAGATAAGTATAAAGTTTGCTTTCGGGTACAAAGGAGAATAATTTAAAAGAGAAGTATGTTTTAATTGTCCATGACGTCCAACTTGGCGAGCATTCGGCAATCATCTACTCCGAGTGTTAATGACTGAACAACAATTTGAAAGCTCTAACAGTTTGGGCATCTGAATAGTGCCTCATCCGAAAGCTCTCAGGAAAGCTTTAGGCTGGAATTCATTGATCATGACCCTAGAATGAGGAACACCATCGTATCATTTCGGGGTGATCCATTAAACATGACTAATAATTTATTTATTATTTGAACTATACTTAAATTAAAAAAGAATCTCCATGTGGCTGTAAGGAGTTCAATTGCTGAATTTTAATTCGTAAAAATAATCAATTTCAAGGGTTGTTTGAATTATTTGACTCTGAGTGCACGTCACTTTAACCCCTCAGCTCATTCAGAAAAGCAGCTATCGAAATTCATGTATACTAATGGTGTTTTAATTTGCGATAAGAAAGGAAAAAGTACACCAATTGAAACATTTTTTTCCAAATACCGGATCGAATGTTAAACTTTGCATCTAACGCCAGTTTAAGTGGACCCTGATGATTAAGTTCGATCTCTTGTCTAAGCACGTCCAACGTTCAGCAGCTATCCGAAGTCGACACGTTTTTTCCTTTTCACATCGTGTCATAGTGGTATAAAACGATAGCAACTAAGTTATCGTGTTCCTGTTATCCTAAATATGGCTGCTAAAGCTGTTGTGCAGACAACTATGACGCAAACAACATGACCACAGCATGAATGTCTCGCCTGTGCTTTGATCTTAAATTGCTTTGCACTATATGAAATCTAAAAGGCTTCAGGAATCCAATTTGTAAGAGATCCTTCTCCGATTACGAACTCAGAGTTTAATGCGGACACCTTTAGAATCTGGTTTGTTTTGATCAACAGTGCCAATATCCGCCAACTGACATTTTCTTTCGGCCAAACTTCACAGGACGTTCAAAAATCGATATAAATGTTTTGCAAAAGGAAAATCAAGATATAATTAGGTGGCTACTATACTAGCGCACAACTTTTAAGAAAGGTTTTGCTCTCTTTGTGGGATTCAGTTGTACTCATCGCGCAATTTTATAGCTACCGCACAACAAACAGGAATAACTAGCGTCGTACTTACCCACCACACAACATGTTAATAGAGTTTTGAAAAATTTTCCGGATTCAGTTCCATTCATCATCCACTTCATCATGGCCAAGATATGCAAAGGTTGCTGTTAAAAGGTATCGTTACACTAATATTTGATTCTCCCAGCTTGAGAGTTGCGGATATACGGCATCTTATAAAACCCTTTTGCACGAGACAGAGTTTAATGCAAATTATGATCTCTGATAGCTTGTTCCCGACGTTTGTCTCCATTTTTTTTCCCGTCAAAGAGGCAACAATAGATAAAAGGCAGCTTGCACCAGATGTGAAGCATTGTTTTTCTTAATATAATCGGAAAACTTCACGGAATTAAAATACTCTTTATAATTCCAATTTTATAAAGAAGCAGCTCAAAAATAATTGATGTTAAGAATGATTATTTCTTTATCAGCTCCGCTAAATGAAAGTTTTCTTAAATCAACTTCTGTTTTATCAAACGGCAGCTAAAGCTAGCACGCCATCTGTTCGTATGCATAAACGGAAATGATTATTGTTTATGCTGCCGTTTCAGTTGGTGGGTGGTGGTAATTATTTCGCTGGCCTTCAACTTTGCTGGATTAATTCACTCATGTGTTAATAACATGTATTAATATTTTTACAGCACGGCAAACTCCGAGTCAAAGGATTCCTTCTCGATTTTCTTAGACCGTGAACTCGATGTGAGTTTACGTAAAGTTGATCGTTAATTGATCAAAAAACCAACGGAGGCCAACGGCCATAGTTTAGCGTTCAGCCTACAAAACAACTCTCCCATGCAAAAGCGTCATGCAGACCATTACTTTTGTGTCCAGATGTTTGAATTCCAACATTTTAGAAGGAGCGGTGGGGTCAAAATATGAAGTAGCCTTAGCTGCAATAAAGTTAGCCACTCGAAGCTTGAAACGTTTTGAGATATCACTTCTTCCGCCTAAATCGCACGCTTCTTCATCCATGCTGATTTATAAAGAGGTGCAATGTAGTTTAGGTTGTTGTAAACCGAGTTAGACACATCTACATGTTCAACTCCTTCTTTCGCTGGTTGAAATTCCTCTTCAATGCTAGCCTCTCCGTTGTAGTGATATTTGAAAGCCAGGCCCTCGGAAATTTTCCGCATTTCTATCGATGAACTTTTTCCCGTTAAATTGTCTACTCTGTGTAAAAGTTCTTTAATCGCTGTTTAATGAAGTTTGCGCAAGAGAATATAATCTCTTAGTTAATGCCATTTACGGCTAGCATCGCCCCAATTGAATTCCAGATTATTGGATGTATTTTCGATTCAAAATGCTACTTCTTATCTTAGGGATGCGAAAAAAAAGAAAAAGAATAAAACTGGCAAATGTAACTGATCAAAAACGATCCAATCATGCGGGTTTTTCTGTCCTTTTAAATAAGCTGTTTATTTATTCAACCATTTACGTATTCATCTATTTGTTTATTAACCAACAACTTTGAATGTCAACTTTATTTTTTTTATTTTTTTTTTTAATTTAATAAACATTTATTGAAGAAACATTTGTACAAAACTAAACTTACATTACATTACTCTACTTACATTACTCAACATCACTCAACTTATTACATTACTGTACTTATTGGATAGTCACTTTTACTTATTTCTTATTTATACTAACGGTCACTTAGTAACAGTCACTTACAGCGTCATGTTACTTACATAACGTTACTAAACAGAACATGACTTACAATACATTACAATACAAAACTCGCAATTCGCTAATTAAGCTCACTTGCCTACCTATAATTACTTAAGTACTTTACGAAACGGCACCTTAATTACCTTCTACGAACACCACAAAGTAAATTTAGAGACAGTGTTGGTAGAAAGAAAAGATAAGATTTTAGGCTTTGATTTAGTGTGTCTGTTTAAATTGGCTGGTTAAATCAGGAAAAAAAGGCTTGGCGGGAAAATCTGTGAATTAGGATGAGCTTCTTTAAATTCCTGCATGTTTGGTTTCTTGTCGAAACATTTTCAAGGGTAAATGAATAATTAGATTAATTAGATTAAATAGATTTGATTAGAATAATTAGAATAATTAGAATAATTAGAATAATTAGAATAATTAGAATAATTAGAATAATTAGAATAATTAGAATAATTAGAATAATTAGAATAATTAGAATAATTAGAATAATTATGAAAAGGTGTAGTCTGTGTCTCGGGAAATCGGTTCGGTGAGTTCAACGGGGGATGTCGTTAAAAGTTATTTGTTTATTTGAAAGTGTAATGTCGGTGAACGTCAACTTTAGCTGCTACTACTATGAGCATTTTTTTGTTACGGTACAATTTAACCAACAGAAAGAACACTATTAAACAACTTTAATATTCTTACTAAGGAGCGACTCTTAGAGGAAGTACACTTTTATGCTAAATAAACTTATTTAAGCCCACTACAAATTACATCTTAGCTCACCACTGACACAATCTCACAGTTGTCTCGCAAGTTCCTCGAAATTAACAATCTTCCACAGTAGCTCTCTTTCATTAGAACTCTCTGAAAAATCAGTCACTACCGACAACAACAACTACTACTGCTGCACGATTGAGTCCTTTGTACAAAGTGTTCCAGATAATTCCAGAAGCTTACAACAACCACTTTGGTGGTGTTACACCATAGCTACGCAACCTAATAAAATATTGCAGAAAGTTCCTTTGTGTGCATGTCAGCATGACTACGTATTCTAGAAATTTCTAGAAACTGATAATTTCAGTGACTATCCAAAGCCTATAGTTAAAACTAATAACAGTGTTTGATACGAAGTTTATAAACTAAGTAAGTGAAACAAAGCAGTCATCAGCATACAGAGCCATTAGGAATTTAAATTTATAGATTGGTTTATTTCGATGATTCTTGCCGGCAAATATACGATCGCCTAGAAAATAAACTTATTATCATAAAAATGATCGGTTACAAAGACATCAAGTTGAATGCTTAAGCAATAATGCAGACACAGACCTCTTTTTTTACAGCAGATCGTAACTCAGACCGATCGTAAGCGACTTATTGCTGTTAACTAAGTGATTGTTCTAAGTATTTGGTTGTTATTTCCGATTGGCTGAATCAAGTTATTTAACTTAAGTACAATTTCGATTCAAATTCAGCACATGACTGCAATTAAATTGCCCATACATTCCCAACCTCGTTTAGATTGACCTGTGGACTCTTCCTTGTGGAGTTGTCCTTTATAGAAGATGGAAAAACGATGTTCATCTTTCTTTTGAATCGCTCTTTGATCTGCAGATAGACGAGCAACACGAAATATGGTTCTTAGCACTCGAATATTTATTGAAACACTAAAACTTGATGATATAAAGTTAATAATCAGTTCAATGTTTTTTTACCCTGAGTGTTTCGCATACAGTGTAGAGCGAAAATCAGGAAACCCTGCAGCATAAAAATGATTTTTAGATCATTAATTTTTACAATTTGCAAACAAATTAGTCAACTATCTATTAAGATTTCCAAGAAGGAAGGAAAATTGCACATCTTATAATTGAAAAAGAAGTCTGCCTTCTCTTGCATAGTTGACACCTTTTTTTTTTTAAAAATTCCAAAGAAATGTAATCTGACCATCCTAATGGTGTCTCACTTGGTCAGAAAGTAAAATAAATAATAGCGATTAATGTCTTTTAACAGTTACCATTGAATACTGACCTGAGTAGAGTTAAGTATGGTGAAGATGTAAGCGAAAGCTTTATTTACAGGCGAGAGGAGACCGAATAGCCACATGACACCCAGCTGGGGAATCATCACCACGCATGTTTTGATGCCAAGACTAGGAGTTAGAAAAAAACATTCTTTTACTTTCCTTTGACAATGAATTTTTATGTTGATGCCTTACTGATTAAGGAATGAGAAAGCTAGGCAAATATAGCCCCACAGGAGGGCATGGCAATGTCTTCCACTATTTTTATGCTGTGATTCTCACCGTATTTGCTGAAAATGGTGGTCTCCCCCTGTTGGCTGCAACAGATTGGTCATCTCCCTTATTACACGTAGGAGTATCAAAATGTTGAGCTAAAATATACCAAAAAAAAGCGATTATTTAGATATGGATGTCGAATAGCCAAGGTATGGGAGGATCTTTGCCAAGGAAGTTACTAATTCGGTAACAAGCGTGGGATGAAGAGTAATTTACAGGGAATAGAGCTCCCAACAGGGGGACCAAGATTAGGAGCTTCGATCTCTGCCAATGAGCAAAAGAAATCGCGCAAAAAAGTGTCTAAACTGAAAGAACCACGCCAAGTAAAGCCTTATGTTAAATTATATAAATTATATAAATATATCCTACTCTCCCTGCTCCTTTCACATTTTTCATTTTTTTTTTTGTTTTTTTTTTTTTTCACGAGTTATTTTTGCGTTGAAGGAAGGGGCAGAAGTTTTTGTTCATACTGTGTAGTAAAAAAGTTGGAGAATTTATGAAGCTCTCTTATGCCTGTGAGGACATTGTCTCCACAGGTTTTTCTCATATTGAAGACCATCAGTAGGTTAAAATTGACCAGCATCCCCGCAAACAGCGGCTACGTCCAAAGCTTTTTGTGAGTAAATAGGAAAAAAAAATGGTAAATATTGTCTTGGGTCATATCATAAATACTTAATTCGTTTTAAAGAGCAGAGGAAAAAATCTTTCGCAGCAATTAGTCCAGGGAATACCAATCACAATCACCAACACTAATCATTAACTCACAACTTCAATAAACGCCACAAAGGCGACAAATATCCAGATCAGGTTGTTAGTCGAGGAAAGCCAGCAACTAAACTCGAGGAAGTGAAACACAAGAAAGATATACACATTGTCAGAAAATAAAATGATACCTATTTCAAACTATATCCAAAAACAAAACAAAGAGTTAAATGCAACAAATTAAAAGGAGAAGAGCAAGAAGAAACCCTTGAATTTTTTTCTTACTATTTATCACTCGTATAGCTTTGTAACCCTTCTTTTCCAGCAGCGATGCCAAGTGAAATGGCCACCATGATCACTGGAAGACCTACCCATAAACAAAGGAAGGATATCAAAACATTTTACCGCATCACAACACCAGATTTAGCGATCCGAAAGTATGGGTACAGTTACCAGTGCATGTTTTAAAATAATAAACTTACCCCATGACATGACGTGATACATGTACATCTTGGTGTTAATGTTGTAAACTTTCACAACAAAGAAGTAGAAATAAATTCCCTCGATCAGCATCCAACAGAAAGCGGCCATCAAGAAATACTGCATCAGAGCTGCTATTGTAATACAGGCAGCCTGTAAAAAGAAAGAGTTTTTTGGTATAATTCTAAATGTGCTTCTTTCGACAAGATATTTAGAGTGTAAAGAGGAAATTGCTTCTATGGATAGAAGGAGAGGCTACTTACTTTGTTTTCAGTGGCGTTTATTCCGGCTAGGAAGATAATCTGTCCAGCTCCAAGGGAAATAGAAACACTCAGTCGAATTTGAGAGAGAGGTTTACGAACATCTCTGGTAAAATAATATTAAAAACAAGAAGAATGAATGAGACAAAAGCAACAACACACAGGAAAAAATGGGAAAAAATTAACTAAATCTTGACAGCGAAGGAAAAAAGAAGAAAGTCAGTAAATAGCTCCAGAGAGGACAAAAAAAGAAAATATTACGAAGAAAATGTCTAAAGCCTAAAAAATTCATAAAAAGTGAAACCATTAGTTGTTCAAAAGTTCGTGATGGGGCATGAAATGTAGCTTGAGTTTGTGAATTATCCGACATGACTGTTCTTGTTTGCATGGAGACTGGCATTGAGATCTCTTTTATCACCAGCCTTGTTGAGGGGAGTTAAGAATCTACCTCATTATTAATCGAGTGCATTGCTTACGTGAGGCAAGAATAAAGTATTAATGTTAAAAGTATCCCGATTATGGAAAGGCTCAGTCCCACGTAGGTGGCAACTTTCAGAATTGTTTCGTCCTCCTCGGTGAGCTGTGTCAAGAAAAGAAAAATTAAAGGACAACATTGAGTTAGTTCATTGAGCCCATAAAACTATTAAGTAAGGCAAAAATAACTTTATTACCTTTGTGCTACCGTCGTAGTCCAGTAAGACGGCAAAATGCGTCAAATGATTGCAACTGCAAACTGTTTCTTTTGAGTTACTCTTTGATGTAACTACATGACAACCTTCCTCTGAAAAACTGTCACACATGAAAAAAGAGTAAAGTTAAAAAATTATTCATCGTTTGGGTAAGAGGTGATGTTTGACAAAACATCTGAGAAAGTTCATTCATTCTCCTCCATACTCAATTTAATTTAAGAAGGAATAAATACTATTCAATAATATATTGTAGTTTTTTTACCTTTTGCTGGGGCCACTCCAAAACATACAGCGCTTCTCTGCTGTCAAGACCTGAAAATAGATTTTATCTTGTCAGAATACACCAAAACAACGCATAGGAGCTTATTTTCATGTTACCTTTAGGTTTTTGAAGTTTAGGATGACATTTTCTCGCAATTTCTCTGGCTTGGGGTCCATAGTTACGGCCATTATCCTGGAGTTGATATACCTATGAAGAAATTGTAGTTAAAAATGGACCAGAACCACGGAAGCAATATTACATATTTTTTGGTAGATTCAATTAGCCAATTTTTCATGAAGGTGGAATGGTCAGAGACAAGCAGGAGTCTTCCAACTCTAGCTAGGGTTTTTGGAAAGTGTGTCAGTTCAGTTTAGTTGAACTTAGATCTTATGTGTTTCCGTGTTATGTGTTTTTAGAGGTAAACGACATGGAGTAATATGAAAATAACGGCACCTTTGGTTGTCTGTTTCACTCCTTATGGCTTGATCTGTCACAAGTAGGTCATGCAGATCCTTGTACAAAAACGCAGCTACCATTGATCCTTTAAACGCCCCAAGAATCAACAAAAAATGTTTTTAAACAACAACAAAAAGAACAATATTGAAATGTTTATCAGGCTCTGAGGTATGTGACATTTTAGGGAAGGCGAATGATTAAAGAAGTTAGACTATGTAACCTAAGGAAACGCCTTTACATGAAGCTTTATTTCAATAAAGAAATTTCTATTGAGAAAAACAAGGTAATACTAAAAGTTGTTAAGTTACCACAATAGTTAATACGAACCATTTTCCTCAAAATTTGAAGAAGCGATATCGATTCTCGCTCGCCATTGTTGTTCCTCAAAGTCGAAGCCACTTGCATTCAAATGATAGGCTTTTTGAATGACCAAAACTGTCGGAAAGAAAAAATGACAAATGAAAGCACCTGCGGTGAAATTTGCAATAGCACAACTACACATTGGATGGAAGTGTATTGTTTATTTCGTATTTGCCCTTCAACGACTATTCGACAAATTCAAATTCATTTTACAACGTTTTTTTAATGTAAAACTGATGAAAAAGTGAGTAGTACTGCACCAACTAAAATTGTGAAAACTCAATTCGTTCCTCGAACCGTTTCGTTGGAGAACTATAGAGTTCATAAGGAAATTTTTACGAGTACGGTTAAAAATCTTGCATTTATGTGCATCGCAGACGATTGGCCAATTTTGAGCTCAGTGTATAGTATGAAGTAAGCGGAAAGTATTTCTAAGATTTGACAATTTTAGTTAGTAAAGTGTTACTCACCAATCTGATATTCAAGAAAAGTTTCAATAAACAGATCGAGAAGAACGGTTTCACAATTTGAAGGATTCCTATTCTCTCTTTTTGATTGTTTGAGAGAACGTTCGATTTCCTTCTCCACCGCGAAAAATCAAAGTATCAAACAAATTGAAAAAAAAATAAAAACAAAAACAAATGAATCGATGACATCCAACAATAACATTTCTGATAAGTTGGGCTAATATTAGGCTAATAGCTGAGTTCTTACATCATCTAGCCATAGGAAATTAGACAACTCAGTGGGACAGTCAGCAAGTTAGTAAGTAACAGAGGAATTGACTTTGAACCTAAACAGGATGGAAGGCCGCAAACTCACCCATTTTGGGGAAACGATCCTTTCTGAAGGCCTCATTCCTCTCAGGTGTCGGTTGCCGTAATTAAGAGCAAATTTCTCAACGGCCTCTGCCACCTCAAAGATGGATGTTTTCAGTGTTTTAACCTCTTCTAGGCCTGCCTTGTCTTTTTTGTGACGTTCTTGATTTTTATGGTGAAATCTTCAAACATAGTAACAGCCTCCTACAATTACGTAAAATATTTCCAGGTCATTAAACAGGCAGTCTCATACTGTATATACAATTCATACTAAGGATCCAAATGGTGTCCAGGGTATTCATTGGCCAGAGAACTCTTTTGGGGGCCTGGATTATTTTTTAAGCTTCACCATTTTTACCTCATATGGCTTAATGGTGGTTTATCCTTAAAGGTCAGATATTTACTTTTTTATCGTTTAAAAACATATACCAAAGTTAAAAAGCCTTTAAGTCGTATAGAATTAGATACCTGTAGGGAAGTCCTTCTGGTAATATTTATTCCGCCAAATTTTGATACATACTCCTTTGCCTAAAATTAAAAATATTATCTCTCACGTTTGTAAACAGAAGAGATCTTGAAAAACGACATGCATAAAAACGGTAAATGACTATTTAGAGAACATACTAGCTGTTCAACTGGTGATGGCGATGGCGATGGCGATGGCGATGGCGATGGCGATGGCGATGGCGATGGCGATGGCGACGGCGACGGCGACGGCGACGGCGACGGCGACGGCGACGGCGACGGCGATGGTGATGGCGATGGCGGGGATGGCGATGACGAGGGCGATGGTCGTGGCGACGGCGACGGGGACGACGATGCCGATGCCGATGGTGATGGTGAGGTTGCAAGGTCTATTCTGGGTGATAGTAAAGGCGACGAAGTTACTGAAGATATTGAGGAATCTTGAAAGAAAAATGTTAATCAAGACCACATCATACAAAAAAATTGCCTTACTATTACACTGCGAGGGCAAAACTGCGAGCGGAAAGGGGAGTAACAAAATGGCCGCCAATAAAGTTCAAAACTCTTAAACGCACTCGATTTTTTATTAGTTATACAGAAAGCTCCTATTGTTTCTTTAGCATTTTATTCGTCTTTGGCAGACATCTTGTGTAATTATTGCTTAGATGGGGCTGTAGGATGTTTTTCGAAAACTACACACCAAAATACTAGAGAATGAAACATATTTTGTAGACTTTTCCCTAATAGCTGAAAAAGCTGTTACACAATATTTCAATATCCTGTTCCGCGTTTTCTTACTTGAATAATATTCCACCAATCAAATTCCATTTTGGCTCTTTAGACTTCACTTTACAACGTGTCGTTTCCTTGGAAACAACCTGCATTTTATCACGTATTCGAAGCGCAATACCCAACACCACTGAAAAAAAAAATATCACATGGGACTAGATGCTACTGATAATTGATTCTCCACACAATTCTGGTTGCTTGAAAAGTTTTGCTCTTTTCCTGTTTCAAGACTGAAAGCGTTAAGAATCCAAAGTGTCCCATCTCATCTACGCATGCCTATGTATATCTTTTTTCGGTGCGCAGAACATCAATTATATTCCAACTCAGTATTATAACATAGCCAGTAAATTTGTGTAATCAAATTCAATTGCGCGAGCGTGCTTCATATTCCCATTGTGCGCGCTCATGATGTCAGCAAGCAAATCCCTCGAGAAAAAACATTTTCCACTCAAGAAGCTACGCCTCGAGCAACTCTTACGCATCTTTCGTGCTCTCCAAACTTCCCGCGTGCTTTATATCTCGATGAACGCACGCTGACGTATGAACCAATTTTTAATTGACTACCTTTTTGACAAGAAAATGTATCACCCTCTGGTGATATATGAGAATTGAAGTAATCCTTACTAACCTCGTTATAGAGTAATGGTTGCTAAGTCGATCGAAATGTCCGCCATATTCGAATTGGATGCACGATGGTCAGTTTATTATGTTCACTGCACATTTTGCATTGCATTGAAATTAGCCCCTACAACTTTACAGTTCAAACGATCGGATATTAAAATAGAATACAGTAGACTTAAAATTGATTCCCCTATCCGAAGAACAAATAAGTCTGCAAGTCTGTTGTATTTGTTTTAGAAAACGATAATTGGCATGGTTCTTAACCGACATGAGTCACAAGCTCTTCACAAAAAGAAAACGCTCTTCACATCATCACGCGTTATCGTCTAACAAAGCAATTGGACTGATAATTCTTTGCAATTGGTATTCGCCATCAGTTTCATAACTGTTGTTATTCGTAAAAGTGATTGTAACAGAACCATCTGTAACTTTCCCCTGTTCACAAGGTTAAAGTTAGACATGTATATCGTGAAAAAGTTCATTGAGATTGTTTCAAAAATATTTCAATTTACGCAAAGGTAAGTGTAAACTTGATTTTGACTGTGTGAGGGTTTTTATAATGTTTTATATCGCCCTTAAGCGCTTCTAGTGCCTTTGAGTTTACTCAAATAACATTAAAAAAATAAAAAAAACAACAACAACAACAAAAACAACATATCAACTCACCCTTGGGGATCTCACAAATATAAGCGTGCTGTTTTTTCCCACTTGTACCATTATCACTTCCAAATACGCCCTGTTCGCCATTACGGAACCTCTTATACATGAAAGCCGCGTTGTGTTCACTACTTGGCTCCCCTTGTCCCCATTTAGAAATAGTCAGCGGTCTTCCACTCACCCAGGTCCAATTCCTGGCCCTTTTTTTAAACCAATTCTCCATTTATTTTCATAGTTCGTAGTATTTCGCCTTTGAATTTCGTCATTAATTAAACTCCATTCTTCTTGGGTTTCAAAGGAAACTAGGTCCCCTCCTAGACTTGAGCAAGTGTGTCTGCCCCAGTACCAGGACTCTCCATCCACCGAAATTATGTACCAAGAGTTTTTAAAAGTTATATTTGGGCATTCTACATGATGATGAAGATGAAAACAAAAAAAATACCAATTATCCTAATGATGATACACAAAGTGATGATTATAATAACATTGATAACATGAAAAGATTATAACCACAATCACAATAAAGGAAAAATGAATGAGACAGAAAACGGGACTCATTCCCCAATTAATTCCTTTTTTTTTTTTTTTTCATATGTATTTGTTTGATCAGTGTCAATCAATACAATACATCTTTCTTCACTAAGGCGTCCGCCACCCTGACCTGCTTTTGTGGATTAGTTAACTTCACATCAGCTAAGATTATTTGTGAATTCATGTAATTTTGGTGGTCAAGTTTTTGAATATTAATTAGTTCCTCGTTGAGCTGACACCTTCCCCACTCCGCCCCCTACTCTTCCTCCTCTATCTAATCAGACTTAAAAAACGTAAAATTAAATGTGAATGTAGGTTCCCATAAATGTGCAACTGGAGATACGCATTTAACCGTATACAGTTGTTACCGGCAAAGAGCAAAACTTTAAAGTGCAGGCGACAACCTCAAAAGATTATCTGGGGAACGATAATCATTAGGGACATAAAAATTAAAGATAAATTAATTAGGGTTAGCTCATGCAGTTTAGAATTTAAAGTCAGTCTTGCAATTAAAATAGGTTGTTCAAACCCGTGATGCCTCCTCCTTAAAGTGACATTTCCTAGATTTCCCTGAATTCCTGAGGTCAAGTCTAACCATGACCTAAGAGCTACCAGCAATACCTTTCAGGTTATCGCTTACACTTCCGACACGCTTTTTTCCGATAACCTTTCTCGAAAGAACTGCATTTATTATTTGTTTTTCTCAGAGGGTACGGTAACGGATCCTGGAATCTTATTGGTACTTAATGCGGTCCGGGTTTTCCTATCTCTGCCCACGGGCAGGGTATCGCTTGAGCGAGCTGCCGATTACATCTTTAGCTTTATTGCCATTTTTCATAAATGTATTTCGTTTTGCCGGCTGGACAGTATTTTTAAGCAAATCGTTTTGGAGCAAATCAAGCCGATTGATAACTTATTCATTCTCTCTTTCTCTCTCTCAGATCACTTTGTTTGCCTGCAAAAAAAATTGGTTTTGAGATGAATATTGGTAGCAAACATGTCATTAGATGGGTTAACGCACGGCCTAAAAGCCGCTTGTAATTAACCTAAACCTTACTAGAAGTAACTCAGAAAGTTAAAACGTGAGGTATTTCTTCACAGTTGAATTAATTAATGGTAATTTCATTCATTATGTATCTGAATTCTCTCAAACAATTTGTTCCTTGGAGAACAGTGAGGTCTTCTATACTTCAAATACGCTTTCGGTAAGTCTTTAGAAGTCCGTTCAATCCGGACATTGGTACCTTAAATTTCGCAACAGTAAACAGAGGAATTCAACGAGAAAAAGCTACTTTAAAATTCCCCTTTTGATGAAAGACCAGAGTTGCACTCGCGATTGCAGCAAACAAACGAGCATTAGGGCTCTTATGGAAAACATTTCGTTGATTTCAAGAAAAAAAAACTGTTATTCACCAGCCTAGGTTGGTCCGTATTGGGAAAAACTGTGCAATTTATCTCAATTACCGGTGCTCAAGACCTTGGGCACAGTGTTACCCAATACAGACCTTCCAGCCGGTGAATAATATGTTGATCACTGACTTGTACAAGAAACACACACCCGGACACACAAAAATAAAAGTACTTCGATGTGTTATGTTCAAAACAACATGCATACACGGAAAATTTCACGGGCAGTGTGTTCAACTACTTATGCGCGCCTAAAAGTTCATTCATCGCTCACACGTACAAGTTAGGTGGGCTGAGTATATTCTGTGAACAATGTTTTTTTACTTTTAAGAAGCAAGAGCAATTTTCATGACACACGTGCAAGACTGCTAATATTTCAGCACATTATATGCTTTATGGTTGGAAAGTGATCTTACCTCCGGGCATCTCGCAAATGTAGGCATCTCCTTTATCGTTCCGAGAGATACCATTAAAGAGGCCTCCATTCATGGATATTTCCGCCCTTTCGTCGTTCACATTTGGCTCAGAATCTCGCCATTTCGAAATATTCAGCTGTTCTCCACTCTTCCAAATCCAAACCCCGTCTTTCTTCTCCAAACCAATGAGCCACGCATTAGTAGTCGACGTATTCCAAGTACCACGCTTTTGAATCTCATGATTGATAAACTGCCATTCTTCCTCAGTCTCGATGGAGACTAAATAACCTCCCAAGATGGAGCAGACTTCATTGTTAGGAAACCTGTAAATTTTGCCTTTCGAAAATATGTAAGAGGAGTTTTTGAAACAGGTTGGTTGGCACTCTATGAGAAGAAAGTAAATGAATAAATAAATAACAAACGATGGGCATCAAAACTCTCTACATCGCTGAAGCAAATATTAGAATTAGGCTAGGTTTTAAAAGTGGATCTTGGGGAGATCAGGGTAATAACACCGTCATTCTTTGACTTTTTGTTTTGCTTTTCAACTCACGTTTTGAATCGCAATCCAATATAGTTTTAAAAGGAAGTCTATAACTAATTAATATGATAATTAGTCAGGTATTATCTTTTTTTCCCGTCCATTTTAAGGAACATAAATATTAAATTGGAATGAAGCTGCCTCACCTGTCCCTGGCAATTTCATCAACAAACGAAGGATGTCTGTAGAAGAGAAATGGACAAATAAATTGCTTGTTATCTCAAGAGTAACATTTGAAACAATGGAAAAGTTTATTAGATTTCGAGTAAAACGAATACTAATTCATTTTATTTGCTATATGCCCTTTAACATCTATTCATGAATTTTATTACCTTCCTAGGGAGCTGACGGAGAAATTATAAAAAAAATGCAGCACCTCCGCAATTCACCAACTATCTCAACAAAACTTGTCACATGTGGAAACATTTTTAAGGATACGATAGACCCTTAGGAATGTCCTTCGGAAAATTTTTTTGAACGGGTTATTCGGAGCGCAACCGAACTATAAATGAATGAAAAGGATGTAAAATGTGCTATCCAGAGAAAAAAAATATTTCGTTTGAGCTCGTATTTTAAGCGAATGAATCGGGTATCAAATCTGAGCGCTCAAATAAAACTTCTGCACAATTTGAATCTTGAGGGGTTGGTCTCCAAAATTTTGTTAGGATTTTTCCATATTCTTGGGAGTTACAAAACTATGGATCAGCAGACCGCGGAACCTGCGGAATCTCCAGAGCCCATATATTTTTTTCAAAAGAAGAGCATTGGGTTGAGTATAAAGTTTGCTTTCGGGCATAAAGAAGAATAATTTAGAAGAGAAATATGTTTTAATTAACCATGACGTTCAACTTGGCGAGCAGTAAGCAGTCATCTACTCTGAGTGTTACTAACAGAACAATAATTTGAAAGCTCTAAAGATTTGGGTACCGCGATATCTGATTAACGCCTCATCCGAACGCTCCAAAGACACCTACTTTCCACTATATGGAATCTAAAAGGCTTCAGGAATCCAATTTATAAGAGATCCATTTCTGATTAAGAACTGAAAGTTCAATGCGGAAATCTTTAAAGTCTGTTTTGTTTTGTTTTGTTTTAATTAACAGTGCCAAATATCCGCCACCTGACTATTTTTTTTTTTTGTTTGGTTTGGCTGAATTTCGCAGGACGTTCCAAAATGGATATAAATGTGTCACAAATGGAAAGTCAAGATATAATTAAGGTGGTACTAACCAAGCGTACAACTTATACGAATGTGTCATTAGGGGTGATTATTATTCAATTATTTTTCATTGTAAGGAAAGAGAAAAATATCGAAATAACTAATACTAACGATAATGATGATAATTAGCTTTAATAATTAGACAACAACTAGAGAGGACATGTTAAGAGTTTGGTATGTTTAGTTATTAGAGTTCCGTAAGGTAAATGTCGAAATAAATATTTTACAAATAAAAGTCAATTTTGACGGTTTCATAGCTACCGCAGAACAAACAGGAATAACTAGGGTCGTACTCACCCAGCATACAACATATCACCGGTGTTTTGAACATTTTGCAGGATTCACTTATATTTGATTCACACCGCGTGAGAGTTGCGGATTTGCGGCATCCTCACAAAAAGTCTTTCGTACGAGTTAGACTTTAATGCAAATCATGATCTCTGAACACATGTTCATGGCATTTTTTTCTGTCATAGACGGACCAATGGACAAAAAGCCACTTGCACCTGGTGTGGAGCATTGTTTTTCTAATAGAATCGGAAAACTTCACGGCATTAGAATACTTTTTGTAGATGAAGTGTTGTGGAAGAAGCAGCTAAAAAATATTTGATGGTAAGAACAGTAATTGTTTTATGAGCTCTGTTATATGAAAGTTGTCTTAAACAAAATTCTGTTTATCAACGGGCAGCTTAAGCTAGTATGCCATCTGTTCGTTATGCATAAATGAGAATTATTTTTATTTATTCATATCGCCTGTGACATGCTAATTACTTCGTATGTCTTTAAAACAACTGCGGCTAACAGCCAAAGTTTAGTGTTCAGCCTACAAAATAACTCTCCTCTTCAAAAGCGTCATGCAGACCATCACTTTTGCGTCCAAATGTTTGAATTCCAACAATTTAGAACGAGCGGTGAGTCAAAAGCTCTTAGTGCGAGACGTTCTTGGATCATAGTGATGTGCTCTGTGGGCAAGACATTCTACTGTCCCAGTATCTCTCCACGCTCATAGATCTAGAATAATTGAATATTCTGGAATATTCGCTCGTCTTAGCTGCGATATATTCAGAGGTCAATCGAAACTTGAAGAGTTTTGACCTATCGCATTTGAGCAGTGTAGAGAGGAAAGTGCTTGTTTACTTCAGAATAATTCTTATTTTAACTTCTTCCGTCATAATCGCACGCTTCGTCACCATGTTTATTTATAAATGGGTATGACGTAAATTAGATTATTATAAACTGTTAAGCACATCTACATAATGGACTCCTTCTCTCTCTCATTGAAATTCCTCTGCAATGCTAAGTTTCACTGTAATGATATTTGAAAACCAGGCCTATCGAAATATTCTGCATTTCTATCGCTAAGCTTTTTCCTTTAAACTGTATACCCGGTGTAAAAGTTCTTTAATCGTTGTTTAATAATGTGTGCCGAATAGTTTATAATCTCTTGGTTTATGCCATTTAAGGCTAACATTGCGCCAATTCAATTCCAAATTAATCGATGTGTTTTCGATTTAAAACGACACTCCTTATTTTAGGAATGCGAAAAAAAAAAAATGGCACATATAACTGATCCAAAAAAAGATCCAGTCATAAGGGGCTTTTTCCTGTTCTTTCTAAAGAAGTTGTTTACTTATTCAAACATTTACGTATCGATCCATTCATTTATTAAGCAACAGCTTTGAATGTCAGCGTTAGCTGCTAAGACTATTAGTATTATTTTTAACAGTACAATTTAAAAGACAAAAAGAGCATCATTTATCAACAGACCCAATTAATTTATTAAACAACTTGTAATATTCTTGCCAAGGAGCGACTCTTAAAAAGTAGAATAATTATCCTTAAAGAGACAACCACAAACTATTTCTTTGCTCACCACTGACACAATCTCGAAGTTGTCTCCAAAGTAACTCGAGATTAACAATCTTCCACGGTTGCTCTCTCTCGGTATAGCTTTCTGAAAAGTCAGTCCCTCCCGACAACAATTACTACTACTGCACGACTGTGTCCTTATGTACAAAGTATTCTCGCAAATTCCGGACGCTTACAACACAACGATATTGGTAGTGTTACATCATAACTATTTAACCTAATAAAATACTCTTTCTAGAAACAAATAGTTTCAGTCATTATTCATAGCTTATTATTTAAAGTAATAACAGTGTTTGGTGAGAAGTTTGTAAACTCAATGAGTGAAACATCGAATATGAAATAATCATGCAGTAAGCGCAGAAATTTAGCGCGCAAGAATCGAAAGATAAATACATTCAATTAAAGCTGCGTGCTAGAGTGCTTCTTAAAGAAAGACAATTCGTGATATCTTGGCTTAAATTCCCGCCTTGTCTGTAGTGGACTGTGGTCTTACTCGAAGGAAAGTCATCAAGATACTGAGCTATTAGAAATTTGAATTTATAGATTTGTTTATTTCGATGAATCTTGCCTTCAAGTATACTATCGCCCAGAAAATAAACTTGTTATCGTAAAGAAGATAGATTACAATTACAGTTAGTTGAGTGCTTAAACAATTATGAAAAGAAAAACCTCTTTTTAGCTGCGGATCGCAAGTCAGATCGATCGTAACCGACTTTATGCTGTTAACTAAGTGATTGCAATAAGTAATTGACTGTCATTTCCGGTTGGCTGGATCCAGTTATTTAAGTTAGGTGCGATTTCGATTAAAACTGAGCACAAGACTGCAATTTAACTGCCCATACATCCCCAACCTCACTTGGATGGACCTGTGAGCTCTTCCTTGTGGAGTTGCTCTTTATAGAAGATCGAAAAACGATGTTCATCTTTCTTTTGAAACGCTCTCTGATCTGCAGATAGACGAGCGACGCGAAACACATTCCTAGCACTTGTACTCGGATATCTCTCGAAAAACTAAAACTTGATGATATGGAGTTAACAATTAGTTTGTTTATTTTCCTTACCTGAGTGTTTCGCATGCAGTGTAGAGAGAAAATCAGGAAACCCTGCAGCATAAACATGATTTCAAGATCATTAATTTTTACAATATGCAAACAAATTAGACAAAATACCTATTAAGATTTCCAAGAGGAAAGAGAATTGCATGTCTTATAATTAAAAAAAGAAGTTTGTCTTCTCTTGCATAGTTAACATAATTGTTGTTTTTAGACTTCCAAAAAATATTATGTGACCATCGTAATGGTGTTTCACTTGGTTAGAAAGTAAAATAATGATAGAGACTGATTAATTTTTTACAGTTACCATCGAACACTGACCTGAGCAGAGTTACGTATGGTGAAGATGTGAACGAAAGTTTTATGTACAGGCGAGAGGAGACCGAATAGCCACGTGACACCCAGGAGGGGAATCATCACCACCCATGTTTCGACACCCATTCTAGGAGTTAAAAGAAAACATTCATTTATTTTCCTTTGACAATGAATTTTCACTTTTAGATATCGTAAGGCCTTACTGATTAAGGAATGAGGAAGTTAGGCGAATAGAGCCTCACAGGAGGACATGGCTGCCTCTTCCATTATTTTGTTTTAGTTTTATGTTGTGAATCTTACCGTACTTGCTGAAAATGGTTGTCTTCCCCAGTTGGCTGCAACAAATTGATCATCTCCTTTATGACTCGTACGAGTATCAAGGTGTTGAGCTGAAGAAAACAATTGGAATAAATTGATTATTTAGATATGATTATCGAATAGCCAAAGCTGGAGAGGATCCTTGCCAGAGACGTTACTAGTTTGGTAACAAGGGCGGGATGAAGAGTAATTTACAGGGAATAGAAATCCCAACCGGGGAGCTTTGATTATCTGACAAAGTGCGAAAGAAATCGCGAACTTAAATGTCTAAACTGAATGAAAAATTTCAATCTACTTCTCTTAGTGCCCCTTTCATCTTATTCAATGCTTTTTTATGAGTTTTTGTGCGCGAAAAACATACCTTGGTATATCAATGTGAAACAGTAAGAGAA